AGCATAGAGGTAAAGGGCGAGTTGCTATTTCTAGCAATGCAGAAAAATCATACTTTGCATTCGTTTTGTACCATGCAAATAAGTTTGGCCTATAACTCGGAAACGAAACATGACTACTTTTTTCAAATGATTGCTTTAATCTTTGCGATTTTTTAAAATTTATTTTTTATGTTTGACGACTTGTTCACTCATTTTTAAAATGACGGGAAAGGGATTCGCGACTCAAGAAAACGTGGCGCGATAATCTTTACCCCCTACGTCACATATAGTTTTACTGATTTTTGACTTGAATAAATCTAAAGTCGTCTCACCATCGATCATAATGTCACGTTCATTAGTCTGTTTTTTGGTCGTGCCTCCTAGCATAATCGCACTGAATCGCGACTTTTTATCAAGCTAGCTGATTCTTCGTTTGAAAGCTTGATGACTTAAAGACGCCATGTGCGGTAAAATTGTAAGGCATATCAGTCTTGCTTAGTGTGAGGGTAGGAAACCCACCTTCGCCAAACTGCCAAAGTAGGAACCACCCTAGGGCACGTGCAGGGCAAGCAGGAGGCCACGCCCTGAGTCGGGAGACAGGCCTGAAAACTTAGCAAGTAGACTTGCTATTGACCCGTTCCGACCAGAGGCAGTGTCAATTGCACGAATAGACAGTTCAGAGTAATGTTTAATAACTTACTTTTCGTGGACGAAATTCACAATTTTAATAAGGTGGTAGTCCTTGATCACCATTCAGATACTGAAGTGATGTGAGAAATTTTTATTTCTTCTATAACTTGCGGTGCCCGCTTGCTCAACGTGCACGCCAAGGCCACTAGCTTCCCCCTACAATACCTTTTCCTGCGCTCGCAACCGCCCGCAGCCCGGCGGCCCCAGTCCGTAGTGCGGGCATAGCCCATTCCTCGCGCAGTAGCCTTTTCAGAATCTCGCAGCAGTCGGTGGACATGCCCCACCTCAGCGGGGCTGTTTTCTATCGTAAACGGAGCTGGCTAAACCCTGCGTTCCAATAAGGCATTCAATATTTTGACCAAACTAATAAGATCCGGGTGCTAACAACGCAAATGAAACATTCTTAAAAAGGCATAGACGTTTTACCACCCTAATTTATTCTCAGTCGCCGTGGGGCTCGCTATGGGCGATTCTCGAGTAGAAATGAGGGTAGCTCAACAGTGCGTGGGAAGCAGAGCCAACAAAGATGCGCTCTGCGTTGCGAGCGTACTGCTGTGTACCACAAAACACTATTAGTCGCAACCTAAACTCACCACACTCCTCGCGTACTGTACATAAAACAGAAAATCTTGTCCCCTTTACTGCTCAGTGGATCCATCATCAAGTTCTATAAAACTTTTGGGGCTGGTAGTGTCTTCGTCAATGGCCCCGGTACGTGGAGAAAATCATCAAATTCACGGTTCTGCCCATCATTAAAGAATTTATACGCGATCGAATCTCTGTTCTGAAATTCACGCAGTTCTCTCTCATCATTTCAACTGTCGTAACTTGTATCACTAACACTTTCCGGTAAAAATAACGATTGATAAGGTGTATTAAATCAGTGTGTGGCGAATCATGCATTGAAACCGTCGAGAGCACATTCCACGTCTTTTCTCTTCCTCACTTTATTAGGAGTTGAAAATGAACATCTTTCTTCCAATTGAATAGAATTAATTTCCTCATTCTGCGAATATTTTTTTCAAAACACGCGAAGCAGCAACTACTCCCTTGCAACTGCCTTGATATTTATAATACCTACTTTTGCTGACTCTTTTACTCTTCATAAATTGATGTACTACTTTTGCAACTACTTGACACTTTTATCTGTTCTGATCTATCTGAAGGACATTCTTATGCAACTTGCTCTGAACCAGATGCATTGCAATGACCACATCAGAACTTCACACAAATCGCTTCACTCTGGTAGGGAAAGGCAACTGAAAACTTGTACCTCGGGGAGACAAATGGTCTGGGTCAATGGTTACACAACTGGAGTAGGGTTGCCAACCCGTCCTGGGAAGGATGCATTCCCCTCTGAACCGATGAGTTTGAGGAATGGACTCCTCCGACAGCTCTAACCCTTCGACCTTCAGCGACCACGTAAAAATAATTTCACTGTACTAAATTACGCTATACTACCTTACAGCCTTTCAAACCGTAGCCAAAATATTCGAAATGGCTCACGTAGTAAATCGGTTGTATAACATTGCGTCTTGAAACGCAAACGGAACTATCATCAAAACTAAAACACGTCAGGAGAAATTATATGACGATTATGGATTTGCCATACTTCTACTTAAGAAAACGGACCTCTCAAGCACCCGCTCTTTTAATTTACGAGGCTTCCACGCGTGCAGGAACGATACGCCGGCCAGACAAGGCGGCGGAACGGCAATTGGTATTGGACGCACCCTCCCGCATACGAGGCTAATCACGCTCCAACTCACAAATTTAGAGGCGACAATAGTTGAAGTGGGAACAGCCACCGGTGCAATAAAATTCATATCTGTGTATAGAAATCCAGCACAACCCGTTCTAACAGCTGATGCTTTAGATGCAATCACAGACATCATTAGGTTCCAATAGCTGATGATATAGATGCAATCACAGCCAGCTGTGCCACAATCGTCATAGGTTGCGACTTAAATGCAAAAATAATTGAATGGGATGCCGAACTAAGAGAACTGCCGAAACGTTTTCCAAACATATTTAGACTTCCATCCTTCGCTCATTTTACATCTTTCCAGCGGGCCCACCTATCTCATCAACCATCTATCTCAGGACATTCTCGATTTAATCATTTACTCTCCCTTCCTCCAATCTACTCTTCCGCGCTCCCTAAGCATACTTCTTTATTCGGCATCAGGGCACCCAAAACGTGTATTTCCGTTAGAATTTCGAAATCCATGTTCCGCTGCATTGCATAACTTTCTCTGTACTACATATGTTACATATTTTATTGCGTATATACGTACGTATACGAGATGTAAAAAGTTGGGATGAGGTACTGTCGCCCACACCAGTGGGTTGGCCCAGTGGGGTGGGAGTAAACTACTAGTTACAGTAGTGAGATTGATCTTTCACCAACTAACTAAACCCGACTTTATTCCCAGCTTGCGGGGAGCACCATGAGTACAAACTCATGCAAGAATTTCTCAGTTCAGTTCATCTTTTCGGAATATTCGGAAATGATATTGAAACCGTCCATTCTTTTTGTGGTAGTTTCCCATCAGCCGAGGTGGCTCAATTTGTGTCCCTGCATTGCCTCTGATCGGAAGGTCCTTGGATTCGAGTCCCAACGGGGGCAGGATGTTCTACACTATACGAGTAGCTACTTACAAGTAGCTATGTTGAATTCAGGCGCTGTCTGGAGAAGGATTCTAGCGGCTGGCTGCTCTGATTGGTAGTTTTCCGTGGTTTCTCTTATCAACACTAGGCGAATTCCGATGGAACCTTAGTGTTTGTTCCAGCTGGGGCGGTGCCTCGCTGGTGGGAAATACCTGCATGTATGTAGAAAATCCCTGTAGTGCTGGATCTCGCCATTCAGCGGGGGAAGATCACAGACGCGTCCCGCGATAAAACATGCACTACACGGGCGTAATGATCTTAGTTGACGCGCCCGAAACCACAAATCAATCTATCAGTAGTGGTTTTGATTCAATTTTTCTTGTATTTTGTTGTCTTCACTTAACATTAGGAACTAATTGAGCTGTTTATACTTTCATCACTCTCTTCTATGTTCATCTGCTCTTCAATGTCCATTGACTTTTTTCTTAATATCACCATCATTGGTTGCCTGATAATGAGATCACCCACATGACTCTGGTCGCGGAAGCCTACGACTTCATTCCTTGCACATCACTTTTTCGAGAGCTTACATGGTTTAATCAATGATCAAGTGTGATATTGTCATGTTGTTATCAATTGCGAGACCTCAAAAGATATAGAGATCACCTTTTTGAATATTTTATTTCTCAGTTTTTGAGTAGTCATGCCAAAGTAATATTATTGTAATAGATAATCTTGCCTGTTTACTTTTTGAGTTAGTGCTGAAGCTAGTACATTTTTATAATCACCCACACTGTGTCCACTTTAAATTCCTTTGCAGATTATCAGTTGGAAACCACTGTGTTGATAGTACTTTTTAATGCTATTGTAGGACGTCAACAATAGGAAAGTCTTTGCAAAGGTGATGGAGAAAAAGCAGATTCTTGGAATGTAATTTGAGAATGCAATGGGTCATGGTGCTCCCCCATAGAAAAATCTTGGTTGCACACCTAGGTCTGATATCACTACAAAAATTATTACGTTATTTGTTGTGGAAGATAAACATAATTTTAAAAAGTTAGAATAAATAAATATGTATAGTTAAAAACAGAAAAAGTTACTTATATTTATTAAATGATTTTTGACTTTGAAAATATGTAAAGTAAATGCAAAATTGAGTTTGGTCCTACTTCGTCTCCTTTCAATTTCACGATTGTCATATCAGCAGGAAATCATCATGCCACACTACTATCTTTAATTTATTGTGACAAAACGACTGCAAGTTCCACTTTCAGTTTATCGGAAAATGTGAGGGCAAAGTACTTACAAAATTTTTTGAAAATTTATTTGTGAGCGTTTGCTAATTGTGATAGTTGAAATTTTAAATTTGATTTAAAAAAATGCTTATTTATTTTTATACGTACTAGAATCGACTGTATGATTTAAAGTTCTCTTTGTGTGCGTGCGTGCGTGTGCGTGCGTGCGCGGGCGCGCGAGCGCGTTTTTTTAAAATTTGTTGTATTTCCGAAAGTAATGACGCTGCTAGGAAAAAAAACTCTTTCAATTTTTGCCAACATGTTCATTCCTTTTTACTACAAATTCTTAGTACTTTAAATTCAATGAAATCATAGATATCAGGTTCAAACTTAAAAATTCTTCTCACTTTGATGCGGAATGACATTATTAGTGTAATGATGTTTAATTTTTTAAGTATTTATAATACAAATGTTTCCATTGTTCAGTTACAGCTGTACATTTGTGGGATCTAGCTGGGACCAATTGGTTGTATTCGCTGGAACTGTATTTCAAGAGGTGATCATCTGGTCTCCATCTGATAATGAAACATCAGGTTTAGATTGTCCTGTTTTGCATCGATTGCAAGGACACAAGGTACTAAATATTTTTGAAACTTTCTTCACAATTTTCTGAATATGTGCTGAGGGATTAAAAGAGGGAATGTGTTTAAGAATTAATACAGGGAATGCCCACATTGAAGGCATAAAATCAGAAATCTGAATGTTGGCACTTTGACCTGATCCTGACTATGTATAAATTTGTATGTACCATGTTCATAAACTTTTTGCACTCCTTTTAAAATTCAGGGAAAATACGTGAAGAGAAAATTTTGCATTTTGAAATGTAGTGCAGGCTAAGGAACAATGATTCCATAAAATGTTATGAAATTATGTTTTAGTGCCTCAAAACATTGCATTTTAACTTATATCCCATAACATTATGCCATTTTTGCAAGTTTTGAGTGTAGTTTTTCTTGTTACGTATGTGGCTTCATTTAATGGAATTAACATGGCACTATCCTCTGGATAGTTTGAAATTGTTGTTAAAAAGTTGAAGTTCAAACATTTTTTGATAAATGAAGGCTTGGTTAGATGCAGAATGAATAGACTGCCCTTCTCTGAAGGACACTATCCCCAGTCAGACTAGCTGCTATTCTGCACTTTTCCTCAACCAAAATTCTTGTACACCCTTCTTATATCTTCATTAGAATAAAACGAAATGAAAAGAAATATACTGTAGATCGTAAATATCTATTATATATATGAAAATTAAATATCTATTAGAAAAATATATTTCAGAAGTTCATCATTGGACCTAAGGTTGTCATTTGTGAGGATACACCAATATCCTCTGTCCTTGGTTCTATCTCTGTCCTTTGACATCATCGTGAACTGAATCAAGCTCCCACTCCTTCACACTGCTGAGGTTAATAGACTCATATGTACACAGCTGCCTGTCACTGTATCTATATGTACCCAAGTGCCTGTGACCCATGATCCCACAGTGACATGGAAGTGCTTGGAATTTGGTGGGAAAGGTGACAGACAGTTTGTGTGTGCATTGTGGTCTGTAGACCCCTCGACATTACTTCCCCTATCCGCTTGTAGACCAAATTACTCTACCACTCCTAACTCAGATAGGAGAAGGGATGGGAAGGAAAGTTTTCTTTATTGGTTAACTTAATCTAATGGACTTTCCATACTATTAAATTTTCAAGAATGTTGTATCAGCCTTTTTATTTCATTCGAAAGTACTTTACTTTCACATGTTTCCAACTCTCTTTACATCTATTCTCTGCGCTTGTCACCTATCAGCCTTTTTCCACTCATGTATGGAGGTGGAGTTACAGTAGGATGGGTATGGAGATGTTGGGTGACTAATGGAACAAAGGTGAAATGAATGGCCATGGGCTAATCTCTTGAAAAACTTCTGTGAATCCACTTTCTTCCACAAATTTCACTTGTTTACATAGGAATTGAATTCTCCCCAGCATTGGAACATGCAGGGTCTAAAACACAGGTTGCCCTATAAATGATAAATAATGAATTCCTGAAAACTATTGTGAAAGTCCTACTGAAATGCAACATTGTGATGTTGTGACAGTTTTGATATACTTAGCAACTGTTTTAAAATGACCTGTTGTATTATTTACAGAAATCTCGTCTAATGTTGGATTAGATGTATTTATTTTATTTTTTTATTTAACATTAAAATTTTTACATATTTTACTTTACAGAGTTGGAATCAAATTTTTGTAATAATGCATGAAATTGTTGTTTTTTGTTTTTGTTTTATTTCTTTACTTCTTATTTTAATATAGCTTAATATTTATTTGTTTATTTATTTATTTTCTAAATACATGAGCAGGTAGGACAGTCCTGATAATGTTCACGATAAAAGAAAGATCCATGTGAGAAAGAAATAAAGAGATTACAGTTTGACAAATAGAAATAAAACCCAAAAAGAAGGAATAAACGAAAAAGATAGTAGATGATAATCAAGAGAGAGCAGTATAAAATTGATCCAAATATTGTTCAAATGTGTGAATGCTGGGAGAATTGACAACAGCAGAAGGTAGGCAATTCCAGTGATCAACAATTTTGTTCGACAGGAAAAAAATGATATGGATTGAACAAAAAATTCTTTGTTCAATTTATAATTGTGACCATGAAAGTGAAAGTTGGTATTGTGAAGGAAGAAATCTTCGAAACCTGGGCAGTTGTGGTCATTTAGTATATTGTATCTTTCAATGAGGTCACTGCAAAATCTGGCAATTGACAAGTGGAGTGCTTCAAGATTCTCAGGGTATGACAGGTGTCATAGGGCTGGAATGTATATATATCGAAGATTTCCTCTGCACAATAAGAGTGTCAGGTCCCAGGTGAAGTATGGCTCCCAAGTGCAGTGACCAAATTCAATTATTGGCCTAATTTAGGTATTGTCAGGAAGTCTCAGGTAAGATTGAAATGAAATGTGACATTGGTTGCTCAGATGGTAGCATTTATGTAGGATATTTTTTCCAGTATGAAAAACAGATCACTTTAGTGGATTGATGGTGAACAGCCAGTTGTTTGACAATGGCCAAACAACTATATGATAGCCTGGAAAAATCTTGAATATCAAACATGAGAGGGTTACTGTGGCATGATTGTCAGCAAACCTCTCATTGGGGGATAGTGTCTGATTGCAGATGGTATCTCGCAATATTTTTCGTAGTAAAATCAATCTTCAAAAGTTCCTGTTAGCACTACTATTATCTGAGCCAATGAATCATAATTTCATGCATCTCCAAGATTGTATCGTAAAATTTGAGGAACTGAAACATGATTGAAAACGGAGCATGTTTTTTACTTATGGATAAGCTTCCAAAAAAGATTTCCTTGATAGAATATCTCCTGGTCTTCATAAGCAATAAAAAAATTATAATTAGGCCAGTTTACTATAGAATGTGATGCTATTGAAACATTTGGCTGTACAATTCGATAGTTTTCACAGCATGCAATATGATTTTGCAGTTTGAGTAGGGTTAGGCAGCCTCTAGGAAATTTGGGAACAAATTTTAAATTGGATACCTGAAAGAAGACGTAGAAGAGGTAGACCTGGTTTAACCTGGAAGAAATATATACATGAAGTTATGGAGGAGAAAGGATTGGAAGAAAGTCAATGGGAGGACCGAGAATTATGGAAATCGAAAACAGCAAACTCTAAGGGGTAGAAACCGTCGAAGAAGAAGATGAGGAAAGGATATAAAACATAATAAAACTGACAGTGTAGAACAACCTTGAAGAGATAAGACTGCACCCATGGCAGAGGGCTGAAATAGGACTGGTAAGGACAGGCTGCAAGGACCACTGTGTTTTCTCTGAACACAGTTGATCTTCAATAAATATTCTGTTGAATTCTGAATTCATATTTTCTATAGTCATTTAAACACACTAAACGAGTATAGAAAATTCCAAAGTAACTAATATCGATTCCTTAATGGGACATGAGGACCAATGGCAAAAATCACAACTAAAACTATCACATGGACCGAGAGAGATGTCTCAGGGCATCAAATGTCACTGCAGTCCCTCTAACTGGGAGGACCTAGGTTCGGTGGCAGGATTTTCGATACTGCTTTGTCAGCTAGATCAAATTCAGTCACTGTGTGGAGGAGAATCCTAGCTCTAATCAGGAGTTTTCACGCTCAACACCAGACAGATTTAAAAAAATATAAAATGAAGAAAACTTAAAATTTATTATTAAAGAAATTTAATTGTGCTCTATCGCTTATTATAATAAATTATTAATAAAGGAATTTGATTTCATCCTGTAATTTTGTCATATTACCCTTAATTTATCCACAACTTTTGGTTGGTTGTATTTTGATGAAGCTCTGATGATAAACAATAAACTTGAGTCAAAAAATTTGTTGCCACCTGATCATTGCTTGTAATTGTCTGTTTTTTTCTAGGGAGTGATTTTCTCAAGTCATTATAATCCTGCAACAGGACGGATACATACTACATCAGATGATCGTTCTGTGAAAGGTTGGCAAGTTAGACCTGCTCATCCTCGAAAATGGCAACTTGCTGAAATTAATTTAGTGAATACCATGTATGGACATACAGCTCGAGTGTGGAAGAGTGTAGGCCTTGGAAAGTGTACCATAAGCATAGGGGAGGTAATTGTGTTATATCCTACTACGAACTGTCTATTAGATTTAAGATCTAAAGATTAAGACTAAAGAAAATAAGTCTATAAAAATTAGGGATGTGTGGTTCAATGCAGTAATTGTGTTTGTATTTTTTTAAACTCTAAATATACTTGACATTACTAAGTATTGTGACATTGAAATTCAGGAGAGTTGTAACAAATTATGAAGTGTTGGAGCTAAAAACAAGAAATGGTATTCTGCAATTTATTGTTCATGTTGTGAACATTGTGTTATTTTTCACTTTCATGTTCATATATTTTCAATTTATTCATTTATGATGGATTTAATTGTAGATATAACTACTGTATATTTTCCTTTAAAATAGGATTCTCAAATGTGTATCTGGAACCTGAAAGGAGAACTTTTGAACCGATGGAGTCTGCACCAGGGAGGGAGCATATGGAGCATTGCTTGTTCAGAAGAAAAACGATTACTGGTAAAAATTATTGTGAAATTATTTATTTTTTGCTAATTTATTAGTTTGTTTAAGAAACAGTTTTGATATTGATAGTTTGATAATTCAAACTTACTTGCTGCTTCAATTTTTATGTTGTTTCAACAAACATGTTGACTGTCTTCAAATATTTCATTTTTCAAATTGCTCCTTTTATAGTGTGTGTGTGTTTTTTTTTTTTTTTTTTTTTTTTTTTTTTTTTTTTTTTCTTTTCTTTTCTTTTCTTTTTCTTTCTTCTAGGTAACAGGAGGTTCTGATGGAAGTATTAGTGTGCTTTCTCTGGACCATTGTTTGAAAGATGTGAATCCAGTTCTTCCTATTTCCATCAATGCAAACTTAATTGAACAAACATCTCAGCAAAATTACCCCAGGAGAGTGGTTCTCTTACGGAATGGTCATATGATCATAGTTCTTCAATCTGGACATATCATTCAGTGTTCTGAGATACAAGGCAATATTTCACTCAATTCTAACAAGGACGCTTTGGAAAATGTAGCATTATGTCTAGGTGGAGATCATAGTTATTCATCTGACACTTCTATGTGGACTGTTCTATATTTCAGTCCAAAATTTGCAAATTACTGTCTCTTAGAAATATCTGCATGCAAGCAGCGATTTGCTGTAGCTTCATTGGATGGGCACATATTAATCTTTGAAGGTCAGTTTAATGTACTGAATTTTAAGAACTTGTAATGAATTAAAGGAACTGTCATAACTAGAAGAAAAAAATTGCACATTTCTTCCTCAGAATCTACAAGCAGCAAAATATCCAGAAAAATTGAGAAGATAGTAGATTTTTCTGCTGCTGAGGGTAAAATATTTTCTCTGCAGTGGCTTTCACCCAATAGTATTCTTACTTGTGAAGTTTTGGGCAAACTTTGCTTGTGGTCTTTGCAAGCACTTGAAGGTACATCATAATTGTTGGAATTACATTTCTGTTGTTATTGATAACTGTAAGTTGTATTATGGGGGAGGGGGGAGGAGAGGGGCTTAATAATTTTAAATGTATGTAAATTTAACATGATATTATAGGTACATTTATGTAATAGTATGCACATTCGTTCAAAATAGTTCTTAAGAAATTATTTTACTTTCTTGTATTCATTTTGTAGGAAGAAAAAGTACTGCTGGGGGGCTTTGGCAGTTAAACATGTTTTGTGAGCCCATTAAAATTAGATTTTCTTGCTCATATGTAGAGTAAATTTCTGACTCAAATAACTAGAGTAGTAGAATCCATGTTTTGTGGGTTCTTGATAACGAAAAAGGGTTTTTTCCCTGGGTCTGTCAGGCAGTGCCTATCGGTCTGCTTTGCCTTATGCCCTCCATTACCATTTTCACTTTTGGGAGAGAGAAAAAAATGATTGATGAAATTATAGAATTATCAGTTTATAAATGTTTGTTGCTTCCTGAATATTCACTAATCATAATACCTTTAGTATTATAGGTAAGCTGTTTATATTCCACTGTCGCTTAATAATTATTTGCAGATGGATCTTATAGTCTCAAGAAGATAAAAACATTCATTCTTCCCTACAGCAAGGAGAGATGGGTCACATCTGCTTTGCTCGTTGATAATTATTATCTTATTTGCGGTGATCGTGTTGGGAGTATACATTTATACTCAGTTCAAGGGGAAATTAATGATAATGAAGTAAGCAAAAACTTTGATTTCTTTTAATTTTTACTAAATGTCAAGTATATTTTTATTTAGGTAAGTGTGTAACAGAATACTTAATTTTTTACTTGTTTTAGAAACCTAATCAGACATTAAGTAAAGTACATGGGAGATTTGGTGTAAGCTTTCTTATGGTGCATCAGAATTATATTTTCTCTTGTGGACGTGATGGTACTTTACGACAGTATCAATATGTGGACCTACCAAAAACTCTGAAACAATTGTGTGTCACTCGAATGCCCTTTGATTGGGTTTCATCATGTTGTGTAAATGAAAACGATATTCTAGTGTTAGGATTTTGTGAGGTATTTATGTTAAATTGTATAAATAAAATAGTGAGAAGATGACGTAATTTATATATCTTAGTAATAGAGGGTGTTACTTTACAGAAAAATTTTGTTGTATGGACACAAGAGCAGCAGCGGTTACTGTGCGAGCTGCCATGTGGTGGAGGTCATCGATCTTGGGATTACATTGTGGAAGGGAATTGTTTAAACTTTGTGTACATTAAACAAAAGTGCCTTTTTGTTGCATCTTGTGACTTGAAGTTGTCTTCAGTACTGCAGGTGAGGTTTTTTATCTAGGAATGTACAATGTTTTAGCAGGAACCAATAAAAAATTCCAATTGATTAATTCTAATAAGTAGATCACAATTAGCAGATTAGGTTTTGTACTTCAGTGTTCAAACTAGACATATAGAAAGGTATTTGATTGTGATTTTAATTAGCAGCTCATTTAAAGTTGTAAATAATTGCTGATATTAAAATAAAAGAAGCAGAACAATAAGTTAAGTTGAAAAGTCTTTGGACGTGCAGATTTCCTTTACAGTTTTTTCTATTTTTCATTTTTAGACAGGTTTTCATCCAAAAGAAGTGAATTGTTTACAAATCCTCCACAAGAATGTGAAGTTTCCTGTTCTTATATCAGGTGGAGAAGATACTACTATTCGTGTGGCATTAGCATGTTCACGAAACTATTTGCATACACTTTTTGTGTTACATAGCCACTTATCAAGTATCAGAGCTATAACTTGTTATGAACTTCATGAAAACAAATTGCTAATGTTTTCTGCTGGAGGGAGAGCTCAAATTAAGGCTTGGGAATTAACTTTAGAATCAGAGTGTGGTATGGTCCCCATTTTCATTTAAGCTTAAAACCTCAGTATTTTTATGATTAACTTATTATCTAAAAAGAAAATACTTTCTAATTTTCCCACAAGGTACATCTGAGATGCTTCCTAAAATTTTATGTCAAGAATTAAGTTCCCACATGCTAATGAACTCTGACAACAAACAACATAAATCTTGGAAACATTCGCAGCCAACTGTGGACCCTGAAACTCGATACATGAGCCTTTGCCCTATTTTATATAATGGAAATATATATGTTGCTGCAGGTTGCTCTGATGGTTACTTCAGGTATTGGTATATGATATAATGTGCTGGAAGCTACTGTGTAAAACGGGATGTGGGTGTCTTTGTATGGTTCACGATGTTTGCATCAATTTTTTCCCCAGAGTTCTTCTGTATTGCAGTGTTCAGCAGTGCTTTCAGCTTGTAGGATCTTTTAAATTCCATCAGCGATGCATTTTAAATGTGGCATGTGTTTCTGCACTGAATGCTATTACAATGGCCACAGATGGTATTGCAGCATTTTGGGATTTGTCAGTGCTGGTAGAAAGACATTCACCTGGGAATTTCAAAGTGGATACTGAAATTAGTTCTGAAGATTGTGACCTTAAGCCCTTGTCAGATTTTAAACTGCATCAATCCGGAATCAATAGCTTTGATCTTTTCTCTATGGAAATAGATCATATTCTATTAGCTACAGGAGGTGATGATACTGCTTTAGTGATCACAGCATTCAGAATGAATAATAAACGAAAGGGCATCGTCCAAATACTGCAGTGGCGAATGGAATCTGCTCATGTTGCGCAGATTACAGGTGTGTTACAATCTTTATTTAAATTATTTAATTATCTTTATTGAACAGAATTAATGCCTTAAATTTTTAATGATTTGTGAGAATGGAACAATTTTCATAGTTTTTAAAACTTCACATTAATGATTATGATATCTCTGAAGTAAATCACAAACCATGGTCACTTTATTTTGTGAGGATGTGTGATTTATACTTTAGTTCAGCAGCTTTAAAATTATATAATATCAAGATTCATGAAAAGTAAGAAATATAAATTCACAAAAAATACATCAAAGTAGTTGTTGTTGTTATTATTATTATTATTATTATTATTATCATTATTATTATCATTATTATTATATTATTATTATTATTATTATTATTATTATTATTATTATTATTATTATATTATTATTAACTTGATTGGCCACATTGGACCACTTGAGTCGTTCCACTTAACTTTTACTGTTAATGGTCGACTGTCGAAGGTTAGTCACCTTGAGGTGAGGATAAATCCTCGAATTACAATTCTGAATGTTATTCAGAAAGGTGATAATGGGAGATGGAGGATGATGAATGATAGGGGGTGAAAGGACGAACACAATACAACCATGCCCGAGGCGGGACTTGAACCCGCGATCTTTCGGTACGAGATCGCTACGGCACTACTGCCTTAGCGATCTCGGCCACCGGACCGGCTAGTAGTTGTTATACTAATTGAAACTTACTATAAAATTTTTATTTACTATTTTAGACAGTTTAAACAAAATTTTGAATTGAATTAACTGGAAATATTTAATGTAATTGAGCATGTTGATGATTTTTAAAATAAAGGTTCAACACTAAAACATTTTATTTTTTTAATTTGTTGTGTCTACATAGAAGCAACGTGTCTCCAAGCTTCTTGGGAGGAGGGGGGTTGAGTGCTTGGAATAATCCTCCATTAATATCGTTACATTTCGTCGTTGTCACTTAGTTGTTGAGAGGACCACCTGTAGCATCCTTGCGAACATGCACCCTACTACGTGCTTTTGCGTCACTACCCAGCAGCCAGAATTGGAAAAGTTAGTACCAAGTAGTTATAAAGGAAGTTAGTTATAAAGAAAACTGCAAAATTGGAATTAAGTGTAACAACACACATTCTAATTTACTCATTTATCTTATTGACCAGGATGTACTGTGTTAACTTTGCATTTCGTAGCTTGAGAACTTATTACTTTAATAGACAGTCAAACATGTCTTCTTGATAACTCCTCTCCTGTATTGAATTTTTAGGGAATGGATTTTTCCATCATGTGAATTTTCATTTCTTTTGTGTTAGCCACTCGAAACTCACACAGCTAATTATTATTTATAAATGCATTTATTTTAATAGCATTGACGTTTCTCAAAGTATGGTGAAGTTGTTCACAGAATGCCTTCTCACATGTATCATGTTGACTACTACCTATGTTTCTTATACTTCCTTAAAATGAGTCCATCAGATAAGGCACTGAATGTTGGGCCAGGTCATGTCATTTCTTACAAGTAATTAATACCTTTAGTTTTGAAGAGAACTAGAGATTTAAAATTAATCTACAAAAAAGGAAAACAAGAAAATTTTCTGTCTACCATTCAAAAATCCCCAAGAAATATCAATCCAATATACAAGGGTCTTATTTGAAAAAATACTCTCCTGGATACCTTGTATAAATGTAGTCATTGAAAAAACAAAAATTAAAATCTATGAACTTATCCTGAATATAAATCACGTTGTTGAAACCATAACTCAGAATGCAATTCTACAAATCCATTGTAATACCAATATTAACATGCGTTCTCAATGTGAAGGGGAGCTGCACCAAGCTCTATCAACATGTCCAAAGTAAATACAAGCCGAACCTTGATATCGTGAAGTGGCTCTACGAAGAAATGATTCTTTGACTTACCAAAAATATTTTTTTAATTATAAGAACATTTTTCATAAGTTAAAGGGTACTATATGCATTAAAAGATAAAACTATTGAAGTACAAAAGTATTAATATTTCCGTTAATAAATTAGTGCTAGTTCCATCAATATATCTTTTGATTTTTATTTTATTATTGGCAAATTTATTAGCAGACGTAACTCAGGGCATCAGCTGTTGCCATTGCATTGCCTCTGCGTCTGACCATGGGTACGAGTCTCAACAGTGATGATATATCTAGGTTGAATTCAGCTGCTGTCTGTAGGAGAATTCTAGTAACCTGCTGCTCTGATCAATAGTTTTTCGTGATTGCTCCAATTGATACTAAGAAAATGCTGGAACAGTACCCTATTAAATGGCCTCTGATCACATGTGATCCATCCTTTCTTATCCTTGTTCTTTTGTCACCCCTTTCACCTATACATACACTTACATTTACGTGCACTACCTTATTACACATGCCGAGAGATCAGACAGGTTCTTAGAGTTGGTCGTGGCTAGGATGGTGGCTAGCTGCCAGAGGTACCTGGACGAGGATCCTTGCAAGCCGATGAATATATTATTGCCTAATCTCGTTTCAGCAGGGGAGATACACCTCCAATTCTTAGGGTATAACATACATTACTCCTGTGGGTCTCACCAGTTGAAGTGTCCAGAATCGATATTCTTGAATTTAATATTCACTTATGTACTTGCTGTGGTTAGACTCCCTCTTTGTTTATGGTCACAGACCATCTTATTGGATTCATCTGACGAGACAACCTAGATACTGCACTCTGTGACTGATACCCTTGCCTTCAAACCTAACAAACTGTCAAACCCAACCCAGGGCATCCTGTTTGTTGCAATCTAGTCTCACTTTTGAAGGAGCCTTTCGGCCCAGCTCGACGTGGCCCATTCATGTTTCCCAAGGTAAACATTGCTGTAGTCCATAGACCCATAACAAAGCTGATTATTTTGTAACATGGCCAACTAAGAACAGGATAAGAGTTTTAGGGTTATAAAAGGTGTCTGGAAATGCTCCCATCCCACAATTACAACTGAAAACATTCACATGTTATGTGGGATTCGAAACCACAGCCTTTGTGTACCTTAAATTTTCAGCTTTCAAGGTCCGTTATGAAAGTAATGCACATGATTTTATTGTGACGCGACTATCCATGGCAACACGGTAAAACTGGTCAGGAAATGTGATAGGGTGTCTGCCGTTCCAACGCAGTGGGTCGCTGGTTTGCTCCTTGCAGCGTGAGCAAAGAGGCGTGCCTCCACAAGAATTGTTTTTTTGACTTCGTAACATGATTCAAAGGAGCGCTCGTTTGAACAGCGATACGCCATCAGGTTTTGTGTGAAGCATGGAAAGAATGCAACTGAAACATTCCAGATGCTTCAAATGGCCTTAAAGAATGGCTGCATTTCCAGGACACAGTCTGGGTATTGAGAAAAGATGTTCAAGAAGGGCCGGGAGGAGGTTGCTGATGAACCTCATCCTGGACGCCCAACAATGGCCAGAAACGTAAATCGTGTGCGCAAAGTTTTTCTTTCTGACTGTCGATTGAGCATCCAGCAAATTGCTGACACTCTACACATGTCCACATTTGCGGTAAATGGAATAGTGACCGAGGATCAGCAAATTCCTGAGGTCTGCAGAAAGCTTGTGTGAAAAGTGTTGATGGAAAATCAAAAAGAACTTCAAGTTTTGAGCTGTCAAGAATTGTTGGATTTGATTCAAAATGAGCTGGATTTTAACTCTGTTGTGACCTGGATGTTCAAGTACTACCCAGAATCGGAAACGTAGAGCTGTGGGAGCAACACAAAATCACCCCGCCTCAAGATACCGCGAATGTGGAAGCCTTGCCTTAAACTGTGCTCATTGCCTTTTTTGATGCCCGAGGAATCATTCATTTTGAGTTTGTACCGTTGGGAGAAACTGTCAACTCAGCATTTTACCTGGAGGTGCTCAAGAGATTGAAATACACTTCTTTTTGTTTCCCCCGAGCTGAAAGAAAAGCTTTGGGAGACCATGGAAAACATCCAAAAGCATGTACAACATTCCTGAGAGACGTTCCCGTCAAGGACATTCAGGGTGCCTTCCAGGCATGGCAGACACTTCTCTGTAAGTATATTGATGCAAGGGGAAATTATTTTCAAGAATTTTAAGCATTTGTACAGGTCCGGTGAATAAATCCATTTTACCCAGAAAATGCGCATTACTTTCATAAGGGACCCTGTAAGTGCAAGCCTAGAAAAACTTGCAGCTTAGAAGTAAAAGTGGACCCACTTTCAGTAGAGTAAATTTTGTAATTAATGGTCTACTAGAAATTCACTTCACATCTCTTTAATGACCACCCCTCTACACAACCACTCAGACATAGAGGGTCACTGTGTGTTTGATCCATCATCATCTTTGTTAATGGAATGTACCCTTTAACTTTAGTACCTCAGATAAACAATACAAAAATAAATTGTGAAGTAGAGTGTAATAATGAAATAAATAATAATAGTAAAAAATTATAACGTCACGTGGGATTTAAATAACATCTTGAAATACTTTTTCTCAGCCAGCTCCAATCTATTCCTCGATTGATTCTCAGTAATCAGAAAAAGTCAACGCCAGACACAAGAATATTTGCACTTTGTTTGATATTGAAGATGTAGTTCTCCCTTACACTAGTTCTACAGTGAAGTCGAAGTACTCTGCAAGAGATGAGGGACAACAGGTCTGATTAATAAATTGTTGGTCTAAATCTTGTCATACTATAACTAATTTTCTTACTATTGTAAAATGATCCTTTTTTCCCTCTTTAACTCTTTTGAGGCTTCAAGGAACCACTACTTAAGTGGTTATTTACACATCGTTTTTGTCATCCTATGATGCTTTCAACTCTTCCTACTGTCAGCTCAGATTGGCTAAACCTCAAAGGGTGGTCATCTTGACTTATTAACTTCCCCCCTGTTACCAAAGAGGCTCATGGGCCAGTATTTTTGGTGTGTTCACTTTTACACATTAGCATAGCCCAAGAGCTCCTACTTGCTAGTTTGATAATTAGCTAGTGAAGGGACCATGGTCACAGTTAAATGGCGCTCTGTTTTGGCCTATATGGTATGTAACATAATGTTCATGCACCCCACACTCTTACCAACAGAAGAGCAGGTACTGAGGAAATGGTCAGTCCATTTGTAGCATGAACCTGGTTCACAAGCTACATGAGCAGGCCAGGAAAGGGGATAATGTTGGAAAGACTACATGGTGGGTGGGAAAAGCACTACATCCCAACATGTAAGTAAATGTCCGTGCCCAACAGTGATTTGAATCCATGGCTCTTCGTGCTGAGACCTGCACTATACTCATGCCTTAGCATTTTCAATTGTCCAGGTGTTACTATTTTACTCAGAAATGTTATATAACTTTCTGACATAAATAAAATTGATTTCATAAAAGTAAATTGAAATTGTTTTCTTGACTTCAATCAAAGTTTCACTTTTCAAGTTTGCTTTAGATTTCTTCAGATTGAAAAAATGTTGTTTTAGGATTGGCTTTTGTGGATCAGTATCTAATAAGCACTTCAGTGGATCAGAAAGTATTTGTTTGGAAATGGTTTTGCAGTGTAAATAGACGATTGCTCTTAGTCACAAAAGTGGCTGCATATTGCACTACAATTGCTGATATTCATGGACTGAAAGTATGGCCCACAGGGTAAGAATACATGTCATTCATATTTGCTATTTTGATTGTTCATGGATTATTAATGTGTCTCTGTATTTTTAACTAAGCATATAGTTTATAGCATGTGAGAATTTTAATATTAAAAATAAGTTGTTACCTATTAAAAGCCCTATTTTCTGTGTTATCGCCGTTCCTTAATAAATTATTCTTATTATAAATTTCATTTTCAGGAATTCATTTTCTGTATGTGTATATGGTAAAGGTATTGAAATAATTCATGAAAATTCTGTTCATGAAGATGTGAAATAAAATATTACCATACATTATACACCTTTGAAGAACTGTGATAGTGTGACTAAAGTATAGATAATATGACGTATGTATGTATGTAACTAAATAAATAAATTCACGTTACCATTTTTGTATGAAAAATATTTTAATGATAATTACTGGACATGTCTGTATTTTTTTAAAATTTGAATGATTCTGTACACCTCTTTCAATGTATTAATTATTGAAATAAAACAATATTTTACAAATTCAAACACTGGAACTATCACTTTAAAACTAACTTTGTTTGAATCTGCATTGCAAAATTAATGTTTATGAGATGTGCTATGCTTAAAAAACCTCTTAACCAAAATGCATTAATTTCTGAAGCTTGCATTTAAAACTAATATAGAACATTATCATTGGCATTGGATGTCAAGGTCTTTCTTTATCCTCTCCTTATATCAATGTATTTTTACTTGTGTCAAAGGTCACAGCATTAACTGTTAGTAGAAATAAAAGTTAAAAATCAGGCAGAGCTCTTTATTTTTCTTTTGAAATTCATTCAAAACGAAAAAAATGCACAGTTTTTGATGATTTTATAATTGGGATATTGTGTACTTATTTTATATTTTCAAAGACCCAATAATGCTAGAGATAAAGTGAAGTTTCTTTTTGGGTGAAAGTCCATGCACTTCTCTGTATATATAAAAGATAAATCACACCTTAAAATTATCTTTCTGAGAGAATTTACTTGTTAACATGAAGTTCTTGGCTTTCATTCTGCTGACTGTGATTTGTATTTGATTGACATTTAACATAAGATTTATATATGTCAAAAAATTTAAAAATATAAATTGTAAACATGTGTTTGTGGAGGGCAGTATCTGTTGGAATGTTTATTTTGGACATCAGCATTATTTATTTTTTTATACTTAGATGCATTTGAAGTATTGTGTTTCAAAGGCAATGTGAACAGAAAATATGTGATTGAATTTCTTGTAAATGCAGTAATTTCATATTTTTTTCATGCATGTTTTTGTCTATTTTTCTATAAATTTAGTGTTTCACATTTTGAATTGCCTTCATATTTGTTTTATTTTAAACAATGCACTTAGTCATAATGTATCTATTTGTAAAAGCAATTGATATAGTTGCAGCAATAACAGTCTGCTCCTACAGCGAAGAAAGTTCTGAGAAGATTGTTGAACCTTCACGTATGTATTGCTTAGTTTTGAAACTATGTCACATATTCAACTAACATTGCTCATATTGAATAATTTTCTTTCATTACAGCTGTGATATCAAATGATAATGCAAGTGATATCCCTACCACACCAGTATCTTCAACAAAGTCTGGTTCTGATGATGACAGTAATTCTAGTGAAGAAATTGATCATATGATTGATAATATTGTTTCTAAACTGGATGTTTTGTCAGTGGATGTAAATGATGATGCTTTGCAGAAATGTATATCAAATAATAATACCGTAGCTTTGACGAAAGCAAGGGTAATTAAGGATGTTTAGCAGTCTAGTAAAAGTGTGTGTTACGTGTCTTCATTGGTTAACAAGTTCATGTTCTAGCGGGCAGATGAAGAAATGGAAAAATGTTTGGAACCTGCATTCGATACTCTGGAAATTGAGATTGATGACTTTGAATCATTTGATGTAGAGATAGTTAAAAATATCAGTCAACATTTTTGCAAGTATGTTGGTGTAATTTAAAAATCTAACCTTTTAGTTCTTAGCTAATTAAAAACTTCATTATAAAAAAGTATAAAACTGATTATTTTATAGAAAAAATATTTTTTTTCCAGAGTTTATCCACCTTTAGAAGAAAACTGTACAGCTGCCTACTACAGTAATATTGAACCATGTTTAAGTGATGGAGACATGAAAGGAATGAAAATATTTGATAAGATGGTGACTGCAGGATTAGAATATATGTGCCAGATCGAACCAGATTTTCTCATAGGTTAAACTCTCAAAGATAGTTGTGGACAGTTGATCATCACTGGTTACCAATATTTCAAATCTTTACTACTATATTTCAGAGGCTGCTCGAAATGAATTTGGCTGCAACCTAATAGAGCACATAGCAAGCTTTGTATTCTGTGTTGTTCCTCCTTTCCAAGAAATAGTACGCAATAATCATACTGCTATGGCTATTCCACGCCTGTTAACTGGTAAAGGATGTCGGTGAGTAAAAATATCATGATATTTTAAATACTCACATCAAATCTCCTTGTTAAGGGTATGACTTTCAAGAATTATGAACTTTTTTTGAAATTATATGAATCTATTATATTATTTATAAAAAAATTATCAAGGAAAGTTCAGAATTATATTAAAAAGTTCATGTCATAATTTCAAAATATATTTTTTCTTTAAAATATCCCTTGGCATGTCGCGTATTTGTCCCATCTCACTTGCAAAATATGTAAACAATTTTAGAATAAGACTCTTATTTGTTTTAATCCCAGTGACACAAAGTTCTAGTTTGAGAGTTTTTTGCAAGGAAATGTGTGAGGACACTTCTGCTGCCATAATAATAACTTGATTGTGTTAGGTCTTCTTGCAATGTCTTTTAACATGTATTGACACTGAACAAGAACCACTCTCTTGCAGTATAAGTAGCCTCTATGTGGTGTGAAAGGTATGTCATCACCACCACTACTAATAGCAGGGTAGTAAGCATGTCACTTTTCTTAATGCAGATCAGATGATTATTTCCTCTTTAGTACAGCAATTTTATTCTCGTTCCTCTATCTCCTACAACTTTGTCTCTTAGATGTGTTGCTTTCAAAGTGTTTTTCGGGGGCCAATAGGGATAAAAAGCTTCTTGGTGATCTACTATGTTCTGTTTTGAAGTTTTCTGATGTTTTCATTATTTCTTATTGTATAATTGGAATGTTATGACGAAGTTCTCATTTTGAGATTCTCCATGTTTCTAAGGCCCAATTTACAACCCTTATGAACGAGGCTTACTGTCAGTAAGTGTCAGTAAACCAAAAGGTTCCGTAATCAGTTTACACTTGTAGATAGAGTTGTCTCCACTTATACAGTGATTTCATGACAGTTTATTCTCCAGTGTTTATACACAAAATAAAAAGTACAAACTTCATACCCTTCAATGACTCTTGTCCTGATTGAACACTTTATTTGTATGGTTTATCATCAAGCTTGTTTCCTTTTGTTCTGGAAGACCCTTCCTACCCAGAATGGATTTCACTAGTTCAAAAATAGCCTTGGTTGAGCCTTCATGCTCAGCAAAATTAAAGAGGTAGATTCCAAAACCCACTTAGCCAGAAAATGCTTTTTTCCAGAAGGAGAGTTTTTTATGTATTTAAATACATGACTTAAGCATGATTTAGAAAAAAAATCACAGTTTTTGCAAGTCAATAACTTCTTGACAATGTAATTTTTGGAAATATTTTATTTCCCCTAGAAAGGAAATTCCTTGTAAAAAATGAAATCTCATGTTACTTAATTTGGCTGCACAGCTTTGATCAATTCTGTGTTTTAGAAATAATTCTTTAATTTCAGTACAACATTACAAAATATTAAAAAATATACAAAGTATTGTCCTCTATTTTGTGACAAAAAAAATAGTGTGAAAAAAGCAGAGTATCCGCTTAAATAGTGGACACATAGCAACCATATAAATAAAAGTTATTTCACTATTACATGAAGTAGAATTTTGATTTGGATGAAAGGAATAAACAGATTAGTGAAATGACAACTTGTCTCTTCTGAGCAATGTGTTTCATGAAAATTTATAAATCTTATGAGTAAAAATAGTCTTTATTGGACTTCTTTGCAGAAATACTTCATAAAATTTTAGATGTATTCTCCAGAAATTCAACATACACACACAAATAATAAAAATGCGTATTGTACTTTAAAATATGAAAATTTTGTTTTTCACAATACATATGGAAGTTTTTTCATGATATTTCATTCATATTTTGTAATTTTACAAGTGAAACTCGCTTGTAACAAGTCCATTTTTTTTCTATTTTTGAGTTATTTACATTGCTAAGTAACATTTTTCCTATTCTTTTGATTACTGAAATCATTGAAGGCTTGGAGTTCATGATTTTGTGTATATTAAATTATTGATTACATTATTTTTTCTTTCTTGCGCTTACATCTGAGAAAGTATTGTAATTGAGTCCCCCCCAAAAAAAGGCAAATTTTTGACTGAAAAACTTATTGCCGGGCCCTGGCAATGAAAAAGTTGATATATCTTGTTTATCTAACATTTTCACAGAGCAGTGAAATAGTATAAAGAAAATCAAACTTTCAACTAATTTTCTTTGTTTTATAAAGGCCAAAGCAATATTACATATTGAAGTATGTGAATTAAAATTTGCCAATTCTGTGATCTATATAGCATAAGATATAGAGAATACAAATTTAACTGACTTGATTTATATATCTAAATACAGCTTTTTATCTTAGAGAATTTCACTTATTTAAAAATGATTTATTTATTGTTGAGTCTAAAATTTTATCGAATTAATATTGTTTTAAATTTTTTCAGTCTGTACAAGGAAATGTCTCATTGTATCCATGAAGAACTGAAGACATGTAAAAATACAACATATTCTGGAATCATAGTGGGATTTTTTAATGTCACGGCCAATGCACTTCCTGAATGTCCTTCTGAAAGAACTGAATGGGAGCAATATATGGGTCAAGTTGTGGGACAGTTGTATAATGAAGAACATGCACAAACTGAATTATTAAAATCAATGAAGACTCAAATAGATCAACTCATTGTTGCAAATGCTCTACAGTCAAAATTTTTACAAGAAGACAAAGAAAACAATCGAAATGTAGATAAAGCTCTTCATTCTATCTTGGGGTTATTAAATGCCATAAAGAAAGAAAGGTGATTTTCTTCATCAATTATTAAAGTGACATTAAAGAATTTTCTATTTGGTAACTAAAATGTATGTTCTGTAATAATCCTAGGTAAGATTACGGATTTCTGCATTTCATGAAGGAAAAATGTATGAATTATCAATTTGCAATATTTTATTATATGAATAATTTACTTAAATCCAACTTTCTTGAAATTACGGTACAATGCTATGTAATTTCTTCTGAACATAAAAATTATATTTTAGTTTCTAGCAACAAATTAGTTGTATGTCATTTTTGACAATATTTACTATCTTAGTTTGTGAACTAACAACTTCTCCATTACTACAGTTTTTAAGTGAAATCTGTTAGTATATGCTTTCTGATGCATTTCTGTGATAAGCAATAAAACATGCCTCCTTTGTGACCTCTTGAAAGTTATCACTAATTTTGAACCAGAAAAATGTGAAACTGTTCACACGCAACAGTGGAAATGAACGCAGAAAGTGTTTTGTTTTTAAACTCGTGATTGTATTTAATATTATTTAATAATAAATGTAATTGTGGACTCAAGAAATAAAAGTTGAAGGATGAAAAGTATTCTTGATGACATGTTCCTAAAATTTTAAAAATTCAATCACAGCTCTATCAATGATACAAAAATATGTTTATCAAAATTGTAATAACAGCTTTCCATTCTGATCTCCCTATCTTATTTCTTTCTTCAGTTTGTCTATTTCAATAGTGATAATTAAAGTACTAAATGTTGTTTTTTGTGTATTTCTGAATTTTAAAATTTTGTGATTTCTTAATATATAAATATTATTTTTAAATTAAGTTTGATAACCTCAGGAAACCTTTGAATATTGTACTTTTAACCAACACAAATTAAGTGATGATCCTTTAGAGCAGCAAATTACTTTTCTCTGCACTGAGTGTAAACTAGTACTGTACTATTTCCAGACTCATCTGAAACTGCATTTTTATGACTAACATTTAAATCATCAAAATGTAGCCATGTCTCTTCTATTTCATCAAACACATCTGCTACGTAGTGACCTAAAACATAAAAATTATTGATTAAAATTAATGGAAAAAATAGACATTGGCTGAAATAAAAAGATATTGCTTGCAACTTAACAAATATCTTCAGTTGTACAAAGATATTTTAATTATTTTATCTGAAATTTTTTTTGCAATGAACTGAATGTCATATTAGTTCGTGAAAGAAAATAACTCTTATTGGTGTATTTTATCTCTAAAGTGTACTTTTCACACTTCTGATATGTTAGCCTGGTGAAACTGAAGGTCTCAATTCATATTTTCATTTCAGCTGCTCAAAAACTTGCTTGATTCAATTTAAAATATAATTGAATTAATTAACTGAAACTCAATTTAGTTCATAAATATTTACAGAAATTGTTACAGAACACAAATATACAGTGTTCTATTCTTCATGTAGTATCCTAAGAATAATGAGATGTAATTTACATGTTACATGACAAAATTGCATTAGAGAAAATGACATTTTGAAAGTCTGACACTTTGACAGTAAATAAATCAAAGAACAACTGCCATCAAATTCTTTAACAACATACAAAGAAGGCCAAATTATTAGACTAAATATTTTTTCCTTGACTTAACAGATTATAATTTGTCCTGGGAAGCACCTGACAATGGTTTGATGTGTAATATCTGTTAATAGTATTAGAAATACCAGGTGATCAGTTTAAAATGCAACTCACAGCAGTCAGGGTGAATTGCACTAGCAGCTATGTTTGAGCAGGTCAGAGAGCGGCTGGCAGTTTCAAGCAAGCAGGTAAACTGCCAGGAGGTATGCTTAATCCTCTCTTCTCTAATGCCACCTCAAGGAGGAGAGCAGTTGTGATATGACAGGCATGGCCACGAGTTCAAAGAGAAAGACGTGTGTCTGCTTATTGATGTCAAAAGAAACATATACTGACAAGAATAGTGATTCCTTTGTAAATTGTTTACAACTGAAATAAGCTTGCCATATAAAATATTCATTCAAGTAGATTTAATTACAAACTTTGCTCATTTTAGTTTCACAGCAAATATGCTCGAGAAATATACACATGCTGTTTCAAATAAGTATTAACAAGTTATTAATTCCTGATTCACAGAACAAATGTTTATTGTAGTTATTGTTGTTGTTGTTATTATTGTTGTTGTTGAAATAATGCTACTTAAAAATAAAAATACTTTTGAAAGAGCAGACTCAGTTGTCAGTGCATAATAATCGCTGATTAAATTGTCAGTGAAGTTAGTTGCTGGTTAAATATATATCACAGCCTTGCTCTTCACCCAATTTATCTACACATTAATGATGAAGGTTTTAGAAATTCCTTTCAAACAAAAATAAGAAAGCTAATTTAGTTATCGATAAAGAAGATTTCAGATTTATTCAGTAATAAATAATAATAATAATAATAATAATAATAATAATAAAAAAGAAAGAAAACTGTATGTAACGTAGAGGAGCAAAGATTATCTGCACACGTTTTCTTGAGTTCCAGAATCCCTTCCTGTCATTTTAACTATAAATGGTTGAAAGGTGAGTAAATGTTTAACATAAATAAATAAATTTTAAAAATTGTAAGATTAGCAATATTTGAAAAATAATCATTTTTGTTTCTGAGTTTAGAAAACTTATTTGCATTGGTACACAAATTGCAAGTATGATTTTTCTGCATCGCTAACAAAATAGCAACTCGCTCTTACCTCTACTCTTACCATTACAAGCAAAAGGAGAGTTCAGCAAATCAGGAACCTTAATCTCCTGAGATGTCCACTATTTGAATGCATGCATTTTTAATTTTTTTGATGGCACAGTGTGCACTTTTGTATGAAAGACCACATTGCTGCTGAAGCTTCCTCAATAATGTTTTCAGGAAAGTATTTTCAATTTTTTGATGGCACAGTGTGCAGTTTGGTATGAAAGACCACATTGCTGCTGAAGCTTCTTCAATGATGTTTTCAGGAAAGTTTAAAGAACATCCCGAACTTTCTCTAGTTTTTGCTGCATGAGCATTGTATTTTCATGATTGCGGTTCTGATCAAACATGCTCATGATAGCTCTTCTCTTTCTGAAATATGGTACTAGTGTTTGGAAGAGACTTGGATGAAAATTTTTCTCTGAAAGCTATGTGGCACTGAAAGATTGACAGAAATACAAGGGATATTCAATACGTTATCTACCTTGGTATCTTACGTCATTGTTGGAGAGCTGAGCATGTACTGGCAAGTTGGGATGTGTCTTGGTATTCTTCGGTGTCAATTACAAATCAGTCTGCCATAAGCTCTTGATGTGAGAAGATGGCAAGTGCAGTGCTGTGCAGGTCATCAGAGAAAATGAAAGATTTCAAAAATCATTCAGTCATAAAATTTCTCACAAAGGAAGGAAAGCAGCCTAAAGGAATCCATGAGGGGATGAATGTCATTTGTGATGATGATGTGCCATTATACTATGGAGTAAAACTTTGTGCCAAGCAATTTAAGTGGGGGAGAGAATCAATTGAAGATACCATGTTCAGGGTGGTCTGTGGAAGCATCCTCATAGGAAATGTGCCAAAAGCTGGAGACCATGATTTTTGAAGATCATCATGTGAAGGTCAGTATAATAGCTCCTAAACTTGGCATTTCAGTTGGCACTGTTCATAGTATCATTGATACAGAATTGATATCAAAGGTTAGGTCCTGCTGAGTGTTACAAATGTTAACTCTCGAGCCGAAAACATTTCACCGGCAATGATGCAAAGAGGATTTAGACTTACTTAGAGAAAATCCAAATAACTTTTACTTGTAAATTATAACAGGGGATGAAACATGAGTTCATCATCGTGAACCTGATACCAAGCAAGATTCCATGCAACGAAAGCACAAGGGGTCTCCTACACCCAAAAAATTTTGTATGCAGAAGTGAGAAGGAAAGATCAAGGCAATCAGTTTTTGGAACACAAAGGTGTTTTGCTTGTAAAATTCCTGCCACACAAGACTACTATCACTCGAGGGGCCATTCTTCATCTACAAAGGCTTTATGTGAATCTGTCAAACAAAAGCACCATGGGAAGTTGTTTGCTTGTGTGCTCTATGACAATGCACCTGCACACAAGTCATGCAAATTACAGGCTGCTGTGAAGGACTGTGGCTTTGTACAACTTAATCATCCACCATATAAACCAGATCTCACTCTCTATGACTATTTTCTGTTTTGAAACATGAAAAATTTCTGTGTGGGTGACGATTTTCTGATGATGATGCAATTAAGCTAGCTGTAATGTGCTATATGGACAACCAAGATGTTTTTTTGTATTTGGAAGAAATTTGATCTCTGAAAGCTAAATGGACCAAGTGTGTTGAAGTCAAGGGGGACTTCATTGAAAAGTAATGAGGTGAGTTTCATTTTCAAATTTCATATTCATATTTCACATAGATAACTTATTGAATGCCCTCAACAGTCAAAGGAGCTGTCCCAGAACCAGTGTTGCAATTCTTTCCTTTTTCTCTTAGTGTCTTGAACAGCGGGGTTTCATTATAAACTGATCACCTGGTATCTCCACAGTTAATGGTGTAATGAGGCACTACCAATACCTAGAGGTCTGAAAGAACCAATGGTTTCCTTAAATAAATGAGTTTTGAAAAAATTCTCTGCATATTCATGCATGACTACGCACCATGCCGCAATAGGAAATAATGTTGGAAAATATCAAGACATTGATCAGTCTGTGCTACAATGGGCTGCAAACAGCCCTGGCATGAATCCCATAGAACATGTTTGATCTGTGATTAAAACAAGCTTAAGGAAAGGTCATAAAAACTAACTTACAAAGAAACTCATTCACATCTTGCAAAATGGCAATAAAACATTAGAAACTTGTTCACACAGTTCCTTGTCAAAATCTATGGTTGAAAATACATTTTTCTCTCATTCATATACTCTAGTCTAATAATTTGGCTTCCTCTGTACATATTCACATAAGACAGTAAAGAATGGTAGAATCACACACACAAGTATGTGTTTGATTTCTACACATAGCTATCATTTGTATCTTGCATTTGCCAAGATACTGAGGTCATCTTTTTTTCCTTGGTAACCCCGAGATATTTTTAACCTTTGATAACATGTGCAAAACGATGAGGTCAAAGAAATGCAGATTGCTGTGTGATAGATATTAATTAATTTGTGTTTGTACAAATCTAACACATTACAAAATCCTAAGTCTGTTTCTATCCTGTTTATATGTTCATACACATGTGCTCAGTAATTAGTAAGTATTCAATATCATTGTAGAACACTTACCTGCAGTTGGAGATTCTCCAAAGTGATATATGATTCCTGTTAATTGATAATTCTTTAATCCAACCTACAAAAGAATATTTGTGTCTGTGACAACTGATCTATTGTGAAAGAATGAAATAAATGTTCTTACTATGAAAGATTTTCTCTAGTAATGCTTCTCATTTGTTTGTGTAATACTATTCATGGTAAGTTTAAAATGTAAAAATTTATTGAAATAAAATAATGTCTGATGCTCAGACATTATTAGAGAGATTGTATTTCAAGATATTTAGCTGGTTGCTGGTGTGAACTTTAATTACCTTTCTGGGCTTCTGTGTTATGAAACACTGCTGGAAATTTACCTTTCTGGGAAAGATTCAAAAATTCACTGTGATTGTATCAGTTTTATTTTATGGAATAGATCTGTCATCCAGAAACTGTCCATTGTGGGAGGGAAATTAAAACCAATTCTTTTCTACAAAAAACAATAACTTTTATGATTTGTATGTGTATTAATATAATTTTTTCCTTTAAATCGTACAGGGAAAGCTCTTTCAATAAAACGCAAGGGACCAAATAGCACTTAATGTAGAGAGATTACAAAGTAAACCAAAGAAGTAATGTCTATGTTATAGACAGTTTTTCATTTTAAACAAGTTCATTATTGAGAATTAACACTATTTTTCAGTCAGCATTATCTCATGTCTCTTTTAGTCCCAGCTTACAACATCATTTTCACCTACTATTTTCATACATATATTTAATTTATGAATTGCATTACTTTCACAGAGAGAAAATATTATTGTTATTATTTATGTGTCACCCAGTCAATGAACAGCATTTTTTTGGGTATTACTTTTATGCTATTAGTCGTAACTAACTGAGCTGAATTAAACTCAAAATTTAAATAACATTTTTTTACGGATTATTGAAAATGCACTTTCAATTACATGACTGTTCTAAAAGTATCATGTTCTGTTGATCAAAATGAGATAATGACTATAAAAGTATTATTCCCTAATTACATTGCTTCTCCCAAGAACTCTTATAATCATTGTTACACAGGTATCATTTGATTCAATTTAAAAATAACATCACTAATCATTAGAAACAAGCTGCATTGTGGTATTGAAAGTACTTTCAAAAAACAGGGTTTTTCAAAATGGTGCATTTTTTACTTTCTGACTATAGAGTAAAAGATAGTTATGTAATACTGCGTGAAAAAAACTGTGAATTTTTGGCAGAAAAATTAGTATTACAGGGCCCTGAAAACAAAAATGTAGATAAATTCAGTTGCTAAATTTAGTGTGTGTGTGGGGGAAATACTTTAAAATGTGATGTAGCCAGAATCCAAGTTTCGTAAATCCTTTATACCGAATAACTGAATGGCGACAAAACGTCCGTCCGTGAGCAACGCTGGCGGCTAAAACCGTTCAGCCGATTTTCTCAAATATTGATATACCTTAATCGATCTAGCTGTCGCGGCTCCTTGAATTTAAAACCAATTTTTAATTTTGGGGGGTACTTTACATGAAACCTTTTCAAGGACATTTTCAAAAAAATGACTCCAACGGTTTTTATTAAATTTAGTTGTTGGTTAGTGTGAAGGGTGTTTAAAAGAATGGTGCAGGTCTCATGATCGTTGAAAACTAATTTTCCGAAAATGGCAAAAATTCAAAAAATTTTCGGCATCTTCCTACAACTACAATTATGAAGATAGAGATTTTTTTCCATTAATGAAATCTGTTTCTTAAGGATAGATTTTGACAATTTTTCGAAAATTTTAGTACTTTTTGCATAATTTTAAATGCAAGTACTGGCGAGAAAGTATGTGTTGTTTTAGCATAAAGGCTATCCATTTGATTCTTGCTTCTGTGATCTGAATTTCATCAGAATGAAATATCAGTTGTGCATATTAATATTTTTATTATTCTTGGTAAACTTAATAATGCTTACTGATGAATGTGTTTCCATCCAAGATTGAAGTTTTAAAGACGTAGTTAACTTCAGCTTATCCCTTTGTATTCTGTTAGAAGAACTTGACATTGTAGGTCTTACTACCTGAATAATCAAGTATCTGCAAAAATAAAATTAATTTAATTACTTATTTCTGAACTACCTCAAATCTCATTTGTTTGAAAATGTCATTTGTCATAATAAGATGATTTTTTCAGCTACTTAAGAGATATTTTTACTTGTATTTTAATTTAAGCCCTTATTTTCATTTTTTTTTTTTTTTAAGATCAGTATTGTATTTCCTAAGTTTGTAATCCCAGATTGAGGACAGTAGTGTATATATAAACGTGTCTTTATAAACGTGTATAACAAACACTAGTAGTGTTAGTAACTTACATAATAAAATAACTTTTAACAATTGTGTATTCATCAGTCAATGATTAATAACAAATAGTGCAAGAATCTTCCTTTATTATTTATTATTATATATTTATGACTGCTATAAAACTTGCTTACCTTTATTGATTTAGAAACGGCATTACATAAGCTACTGAGGTGGGGGGGAAAATCTTCTGGAAGATGCTGTTTTTACTTTCCTGTATATGTACATTTTCTACGTGTATTACCTCCGTATGTAGAGAAAATTATTTAATGCTGTGGAAAATCGATATCGAGATTTCAATGAAAATACGCGTTTTGGGGGCCCCTGATACCAAAAAAGTGTTGTTGTTTTTTTCTTCACCAAAATGTCCGGCCGGTGTATGTGAACAACACTGTGCCTAAACCATGCGTAGGATTTTTTCCAAATTGAACACTATTACACAAATTTAATTTTTTTGAAAGATCTCTCACGCTGTTCACGTGCACATTTCCAGCGATTTGTAAGTTAATGTGCTTCAAATAACTTCAAATGAAGTTTTTGAAAACTCAAAAATTTTCTGTGAAAAAACTTAAAACTGTGAATGTTGCTTAAGCACCATTTTCTTAAAAATGGTTCCAAATTTTTCAAAGAAAATTGCCATTTAGGGTGAGGTTTTACCGTTCTTTAATAAACTTAAAATAATATTTCCGTTCTACTATTAGGAAAAGACAAATTATGAAAATTTCAAAACAATATATTTTGGGTGGTGATAGATGGCAGCAGGCAAGAGTATGTGGCAAGTTAGAATAGCTAGCCAAGACCAAAGAAAAAAAAAAGAATATGAGAAAGTCTGTACCATTCTGTAGCACCACTAGTTTATTGTAACCACTACCGCAAAGTATCCAAGAAAATATCAAGCAATTAGTATTTCTTAAGTTCGCAAAACCTTTTGCCTAAAAATTGGCCCTCTTTTGGAGATTCCCCTGATGGAGAGAAATAGCAATTTGATCTTTGATAGTGTTGTGAGATGATGGCAAGTATAAGAAGTGTGTAATAATTTATTTTGAAAATCATGCACACTAGTGAAGCTAGCTTGCATCTAATTTTTTTTTAATACTTGTTCATTTGTAAAGACTTACTTTGGTGGATTTTTAATGCATGCTTTTACAGATGCCACCTTCCCATCACATATGTTGCATGTGTGTTGTGATGCTTGACAGTTCATTTGGCAATCAAATCCATTTTGTACTGAAAATCCTTCTATTGCCTGATCCATATAGATAAAAAAAATATTTGTTGATTCACTTAACTCTTGGCTCACATTTTTGCATCTGAAATATAATTTCCAGTAAATTTGTTAATTCAGCTTACCAGTATGAAACAAATTTTTAATCTGAGTCAGCTTACGATGTGCAAATGAAGGTTTTTTGCACTGTTATTTCCACATCAGATTTAATGTTTTGTAAAAGTTGAGAATTGTGCCCAATATCCTGGGAATTCAATAGGAATGATAAGAATTGTGATACAAATTCAGAAGCATCTTGTTGTCGTGAAGTGTGGTAATCTGCATTCCATTCTATCAATGAATGTTTGAAGATCCTTCAAAATAAATTTAAAAAAAGTGATTAGTTAAAATTAAAACTAATGAAAATTATACAAATTTTACTAATTAATATTAATTGGATATTGAAATTCAAGAATTCAAAATAACAATAGTATAATAGATGTAATTAAAAATGAGTCCTCATGTTAGTACTTTTCCAAATGTATTTTTATATATGTCATATATGTGATCATATTCTTATACATCATATATGTTACAGAAGTACTTTTAGCTAAGGAAAATTTAAATCAATGATGTATTTTGGGACTTGAATTTTGAAGACTTTGTCCACTCCAAGTATAAAATTATATTATCTATATTATCATATACCTCAAGCTGATGCTCAAATCCTTTGTTGAGCTCATGTAACATTTAATAAGGTTTAAGAAAGCACTTAATATAGAATTTTTTGCATGAGAGTAACATTTAATGATATCAACCACTAGAAATTTCATTCGAAGAATTATCTGTAGAGAGGCATTCATCCAACAGTAATTTTCATTAACTGGATTAGGAAATCTGAAATATAAATAAAAATATAAATTAATTTCACCTGTAATAATCATAAAAAAATATTTTACATATTTAAATACTCACCCAATTTTTGGTGGTTTAAAGCTTCTATATTCTTCACTGAAACAAAATTTCTGTGTATTGATTTATTGCAACTACAAAGTACTTTAACTTATCACCTATATTTACTTTCCATACCTTAAGTTTCTGTAAATGATGTGCTTCTCATGATCAACAGATTTCATCTAAGAGAACAAAAAATTAATTACTAGGTAGAAGTTATAAATACTAGGCACTTAAGAGTAATCAAAACAATTTTGTGTAGTTTTAGTTTTTATATTTTTACCTGAACTCCTTCCAGAACGATTTCCTCACTTGGAATCTTCTTTAATGTTAATTACTCAGTTAATAAAAAATCTTGTTGGTGTGTTGTTATAAATAATGGTACTTTATTTCAGAACAATGTACTTACCTGCATATGAATTGTTTCTGAGTTTGAAAAGCTTTCTGATGAATATTTCTAAATAAGAAGAAAACTTATAAGTGACTTAAACAGATAATTTTTTTATAAATTTTGTAGTTTTACAAACTTACTTGTTCTATATGAGTGTTTTCCTGACTCCGTAGGGTATGTACAGTAGACATCTAAATTAAAAGCAAAATTATCAGTTTAAAAAAAAATTTAATTGTTTTGTCTACTCCTCCCTACATTTGTACTGACATACTAATATTAGGGAACTGATAATTAACAATAAGTGAAGACCACATATTTAGGAAAAATCTGATATTACTGCAAAATAATTAATAGCTGTTATTAATTTTAGTAATTATTTCTTACATGTTTTGGGGTTCCATCAGTATTTGCCAGATCTGGTTTTCGTGATGTTATTGAATTGCTTCCACGGAAATGAAAAATTGAATCATCACTCTGATCAGAGTCACTGTTTTGAGTCTCTGTGTACAATTTGTTGTGTTCTATTGAGTCTTTTTGTAGATCATAATTTTTTTCGATGAACTCCATTACTGGATTTGATTTTTGATGGTCAGAATTGGTTTTCAAAATTTGTTCCTATATTGAAAAAAAAAAAAAATAACTGCTAATTCTGCTAATCTGAAAAGCCCAATTATTAATGTAAAGTTGTACCTTGATTTGTCCTGTATTAGTGTCATTTAGTTCTGCATTTTGAGATGCACTTCGAGTGACTCTATGAGAACTAAAAATAGTTTCATTGTTTTCATCAGAATCATCATTTTTCTGGAACATTGACTCCAACACTTTGTCTAATTTGTTTTCTTTCTCTCTTTCTTTTATTGCTTTTTTTCTTATCTTAGTTGATGTTGATACTGGTGTAAATATTATTTTATTTGAATAATTTTTTGATATCTGCTATATTGAAAAAAAGTCATTAATAGTTTCAGCACATGTGAATTTTTTATTCATTGTAAGGATTGGGTCTTACTTGTTCTTGTTTATTATTTTCCTTTAGCTTGGCTTTCCAAGCCATTGTATTATGAGAACTGAAAACTGAAACATTACTTATATCAGAGCCAACCCTTTCAACTAATATTTCTCTCACATTCTCACCCATTTTGTTAATTTTGTCTCTAGTTTTAACAGTCTTTTTCTGTTTTTTAGTTGATACAAATTTTGGTGCAAATGTTCGCCCTGAAGTTTGCATCTACATAAAAAAAATCATCAACAACTATGATTGACATTCTAAATTATGAATTACTTCTTTCAATTACGAATACAAGTTCTTACATGTGCAGAAGATGCTATGATTTCTTTCGAATATATTTTTCTGTGTTTGGTTGCAGTGCCTTTTGTGGAAGTAAAGATACTTGAATCATCACTTTCACTAGAGTCAACAGTCAAAGACAATTTTTGTCGCTTTTTCTTTGTTTTTTCTTTCTGAATTTGTTTCGAAGTCTTTTTTTCTTCAGTGGATGTTAAACTTGTCTTACATACTTCTGAAGAGAATCTAGATTATAAGTAATTAATAGTATTAATTAGACCTATTTATGTAATAGGTAATTAATTAACATTTCACAAACTGATAAAATTGTAATTGCATTTTAAATCATTTATAGATCAAAATTAGGGAGACATTGGTGAAATTTTCATCCTGAGAGTTTTATGGTCAAAAGGACATGTCCTGAGAGACTTTAAATATATGAAAATGAGAGAAAAATAACCATTTTCCTAAATATCTAATGTCTAGCACTAATAGACTGTTTTTTGTAAAAGCAGAAAAATTAGTTCTCCTATTAAGCAACCACTTTTTTATGGAACCAACAATGGAAAATTACTTATCTGTATACCCTTAAAACGTATTTCAAATGCAATTCACTTATTTGCATTTATGTATATATAAATTGTCAGCTGGAGTCTTTCTCTCAGTATGCCAAGTTCACAAAACCAGGAATATACAAACTAATTGCTCTTAGCCAATTGGTGAATTTCCTTTTTTTGGGAATTTTTAATGATTAACAAAGTATATTGTTCATTCTTATCATAATTCTGTGTTGTATTTATCTAGAAAAACACATTGAAATTGGAATCTCAATTTACACTGATTAAACAAGATATTTTTTCATTTACGACTTTGCATTTTTTTCATCGCAATAGTTTTGTCTTGAGGGGTGGTAAGTAGAACATAGATTATCTGGACATCAATTATCCAGATAATTCTCAGATTTTTTATATTATTTATTTTCTGGTTACCAATGAAGTTATTACTCAGTCAATAATATAGAACATACTATGTAAATTAAAAATAAATTAATAGACTTAATAAAATTAAACTAATCGTTTCCTTCTTGCTTAATTTCATTTTTCAAGTTCAATTTTTTGTTTTTGGTACAATATTCTTGAAGGAAACTAATGTAAGCTGTATGTGTACCTACCTATGACCCAAACAGTTTTTGTTTTGAGAGTTTAATTTCTAATTATGTGGTTATTTTAGCATTACAGTAGTTCAGACACTTATATAAAACAAATTCTTTATACAACAGTGTAGTTATTTATTCCCATGTTTCTATCTATTATTCATACTGTATATCTATTTGATTAGGTATAAGTTTTTTTCGGGCTAGGACTGGCATTGGTTATTCCGGTTGGTCTGGTCTGCTATTATCTTATGAAGTTTCACATTTTTCATTCCATCTAAGGGACCCTGAGTAATCTGTATTAAATAACTTAAATATAAGATTAAAATGTTCAAATGTTCGTAACAGAGCGTATTGTAAATGTCGCTATAATCTTATGAAATTCGATGGAACAATATTATGGACGACCTTTTTTCCTATTGGAAGCACTCTCGGATGTACTTCGATACGGATGCTGACACTTTTTAACAAGGCTGCGTTTTGCAAAAAGGTATTAAGGGACTAAGAAAGTGCAACATACGACCATATATCTGGTGTCAAGTGTGTCCAGATTGTGTTGAGGGTCAGGTGGGCATGTCGACGTTGAATACCAAATTGGGTGTCGGATAGAATGAAGGTTTCATTATCACTGTCTTCTTCTGAATAATGGAAGTCCTCTACTGCTCTTCCCATGAGTTTATCCTGTCTAGTTACGCTAAGATATCGCATTGCATCACTAAATATTCTGAAACATCCCAAAAATTCATCTTGGATTTGCTTTCTCCAAATTGTAATTGTCTGAATTGTAAATTTAACGAATTCAAATCCTATCTTACCTCTTTTTCCTACCGTCCTCGGATCCCATTGCTTATGACAAATTACTTGTTACGGGTTTTGCAATTGAAACCAAAAGCTACACGATTGGTGCCATTTACTACTTTGACTTCGCACGTGTGGTCTTCTGAGCGTTCCGTCTGGGGAAAGTGAGCCCACGAGCGAATGGTCAACTTGCCCATGTGCGTAAGGAAGAGATCGAGTCCGATGGATTAGGGAATATCATGAAAGGTAGGTTTCGTTGAGTAAAATTGAAACAAGTATGTGAAAGATTACTTGTGCTTGTCGCACACAGAATGCTGAATAATTTAGTGCGTGGTAAATTTGGTTCTTCATTTGAACTTGAATTTTTTAAGGTAACCAGTGGATAGATAGGACTGTTAGGGAATCAAATAAAAAAAAGTCATGATTCTTTATAAAAATTTGTACAAAAAAAAATACATCAGAGAAGGACATTTCGATTTGACCTAAAATATTATGCACTATGTAACTAATTACATCAGTGATTTTAAAAGTTTTAAAAATGGCAGTGAACTAGGACTTATGACAATAGCATTTGTTATCAGTCCTTAATTTGTAACTTCTACACAGATTTTTCTTTCTTGAATTCCTTACTATGAATTATTGACTCCAAAAATGTTTAATGGAAATATTTTAATTGACATTTCCAAATATGTACAAATGTTCTGCTTTACATTGTTACTTTCCACTTGTGTTTGGTTAATATAAATTAACATTTTGCTGTCTTGAAGAATTTGGTCATATTCATCTCAAAACTTCAATACGTTGTCTTTTATCATTAGTTGGAAACTACAAAATAGTATATTCACAAATATTTGTAAGCTTGAGAGAAAAAGTATGTTTACCATACTCTGAATTAATTTACATCTTTCCTTTAATGTCTAAAAAAACAAAGACATTTTTCAATGTAGGTCTGTCTTACCATTCCTGAACAACTTTTCTCTCTTTGTGAGCTCTTAATTTAAATTTTTTGTGGTACACAAGCAAAGCAACATTAAAAATACTGAAAATATAATAGTAATCTCAAAGTAACTGCATGTTAGTGACAGATTGATAAGAGATAATCATTGCTGGGTGCCTTATCTCAATGTTTCTAATTTTAAAGAAAATAAGTTGAATACTGTTCAGTAACTCATTGTTACAGAATAAAGTTTGACGGAAGTATAGAACACGGTACAACTTTAGGAAGTAGTTTCGCACTTCGCGCCGTTCCGGCGAGGAGGAAATCCAGGGGGGCGGGCCAGGAGTGGGGGTTAGGGTTTCACGAGGGGATCTTTTCGGTGGGGATAGATAGTGAGCAACGAACGTACCTTAGTACATTCTTAAAATAAGCGAAATGTGGGCAGCCTCGCCGGCGAAGCCGGCAATGCCTTCAGCGATCTAAATAAATTGTAAAAATTACAATACTGAAAAATTTTAATGGTTCTTAATTAGTCACGAATGTGACGTGAATAGTTAAGGAGATACATTTGGAATTGTATCGTGACAAAACTCCATTATCGAGTATTGCCGCAATCGTTGTGTGCCCCTTTGATTTTGTGTATCGAAGTGGTGTCGTAGTTACGTTTTTTGCGCTCTTGTGATTCTTTGTGCTTTGTGTTTTTGAGTTGTCGAGTGTTTGTTTGTGCTACGACGAAAATAAATGTGTGTTTTCTTACGCGTTGATCCGAAAGGGGTGTTTGGCTGTGATTAAATTTGCCCAAGAATGTGGTCTGATTGCTGCAGGATTTAAAAGTCGTTTGTATGTGTCCGAAGTGCAGTGTCGGAGCTAGACAATTTTGGGCCTGGGGCAATGCTGAAACGTAGTTCCCCCTTATTAAAAATGTGGAAGTTTTATCAGGAAACTGTGAGTTATTTTATTTCAGCAAATAACATAAATTACAACGTTACAAACTTACAGAAAGTTTTTGGAAAAATATTATAAATATTAGTTTTAAGTAAAAGTATTTTACAAAATCAGCGTTAAATTTTCATTAGTCTGACATTTTTCATTTTATAGAGTCCTATCTTATAAGTAATGACTATAATTAACTACAAATTTCAGGGAAAAGTTAATTGAACATTTTATGAAATATCAGACTACGATAACTGTTTTCTCGGGTTCTAATTTCTTTTTCAATTTTTTAAAACTTTTTACTGATTGCTTTCCCAATTAGTCCCATCATCGGGCCCTTTGACTCACGGGGCCTCGGGCGATCGCTCGGTCCACCCATGCCTAGCGCCGGCACTGAATTGGTAGGCAAAGCGAAAGAAGTGTGAGCGTTTCGAGTGGAAGTGTAATAAGAAAGGGGCCACTGAAATGCGTGTTTTCTGTCCGTAAGAGGTGATTGTTCACGAAAAGGGAGCAAAAACCATACTAAGAGGTTTTTGCCGTTCCTTGCGGGAGTCTCCAAACTTTACGATACGTGAAAGTCGCGTACTGGTTTAATAAATTTGTTTCAGAGCGCTTAGTGTAATTTGAGAGGGGGTTCAGGAGACCTCTCCATCTTCTCTCCTCTACTCAGCCCACTGACCTCCTCCACCGTACCACTTCCCTAAGGGCGTACCGCGTTCCTTCTCTGCTTTAACCTAAATGGTGATATCCACATTTGAAATAATGTAATCTTTTAATGGATGATGATTGAAGTTCAAAGTAAGATGTATCATCGTATTAAATTGACTTTCTTAGGTTAAAATCAATGGAGACTACGAAAGAGAACATTTTTCAGTTTTTAGAAACAAAAATATTAGTGAGCATTTTTCACAAAGAAAATGGAAACAAATTAAGTTTGGCATAATACAATTTGTTTGTGTTTCACTGTGTATGTGAATACAAAACTTGATGAAATGCCATTTAAACAGGAATGGTTCTGTTGGTGGATGAATGGATTTCCAGTTGAAATCCATTACAATTTTGACATAATCTTACATTACACATTGTTTCATTTGAAGCATACAGGACCTACTTCAAAACCAAATGCTTGATGTGGTAAGCCATAATCAACTGGGAAAAAGTCCACAATTGGAACATTTCCAAGTTTCTTTGTCCTCACTTCAAAAACTGTTTCACTTTTACTCTTTCGATTCTGCAATCAATAGTATCTCATTAGAATTTAATTTGCTTGTTATAGTAGATAGCTGCAATTAAATTATTCATGCAGGTACTCACTTTGCACCCATCAATGAGTACATTGGGTTTGATTCCATCCATACTGAATTCTGCTTCATTTTCCCCAAGAAGTTTTATTGCCATCTCATAAGACTGTGTCTTAAGATTAAACCAGGCAGCTGAATTTATACATGTGTATGTGAAATTTTGGTATGCGTCTTGGCTCAGTAACCGCAGAAAAGTCATTTGAACTACACCTACTGTTTCATATGTTATCTAAAATTGGCAGAAAATAAATAAATAAAGTCAGGTGAATATAAAAAACAGAAAGAAAATAGTACACAATATTACACTATGTGATTATAATATTAAAAGAATATTTTTAATGTACTCACTCTAAAGCCACCTCTCAAGTTTGAGTACCAATCATTTTTATTGCCATCTTTCCGCCATTGAATATTTGGCATTTGACTTGAATGTATATCAGGAAATACACAAGTTTCTCCACTACCTGTCATGTTGCAGAATACATAAACAGCATCGTCTGGCATGCCTAAGTTGGGGTCTATCCAGTACCATCCTAAAAATAATTTTTTCAAACTTTTAAATGACATAGCGGTATTATATTTGTTATACCATTTTTGTATTAAATTTTATATTAAATGTTTTTTATGTGTATGTATGTAATAAGCATGAATAATTCAATTACCATCTTTAAATTGTGGATGCCCGTAAAATAGATCTTTGCACGTGCGTACAGGATTTTCACGTGTTCCTACTGGTTTTCTTATGCGGTCTAGATCTTGTCGCATGGTATATATTGAACTGTACATATCCAGAAATTTGCTGCTTAGATCTTCTTTAGTCTCAGTCTTTTTCTTCTTTCCCTCGACAGAGGTATCATCCACAATATCATCCCTGAAAAAAAATTGTAATATTACACAATTCTTTTGGAAGATGATAATTTTATGTTAAAAGCTTCTTAAAAACCACCTCCTACAAACACCACCTTAAAGTAGAAGCATCCGTGTGGGTGAGGAGGTTTACATATTTAAATGAGGGCATGAGGGCACAGGGGTGGCATTGGCTAGTAGGCTAGTGCAGCTACCAGTAGGGTCACCCATACTGTACAGGCCTCAGCGGTGTCAGACAAAGGATGTTGCTCAGTGTCCTACTTTACCTTACCTGTACCTAATCCTGTTATCCATTCACGACCTATATCCACTTTCTGGGACTTACCCCGCACAATTCACACTGGTGTATTGTGTGATTCCTATGTACCAGTGTGGCATCCTCTTCCTGTTACTCCTGCCACATTTCTATCATCTTTTCTATCTTTCTTGATACTCTGGTTTGTTTCAATTTTGAAGCGATTAGGTTGTGAAAGCCTAAGGAATCTTTTATTTTTCCACTCCTTTCTTTTTACTATCTTTTTTTCTCTCTATTTTCTTCCATGGGGAGAGAGGCTTCATTTAAGTCATAGTAAAGGCAACCTATCTAGGGCAAGGGAAGCCAGAAGACAAATCTCCCAGTCCTCCAGGTTGGGGGTTAAGCATACTTGTATGAGCCAGCAATTCTCCCTTGGAAAAGGAAAAATGCTACATTAGCTGGAATAAATTCAGCCATGCAAATCATAAATAGACATCGACAAGGTCTACAAAAAGAGACTTTTTCTTTTGGAACATGGAATGTACAGAGCCTTTCAGGGAATTTGGAGAAGATTGTTGAGGACATAAAAGACAAGGGATTGGAATTGGTGGTTCTTATGGGAAAAAAAAAAGTAAAGAAAGAGGAAATTAAGGGATATTACCATTTATGGAGCAGAGAAGAAAAGGGGAGAGAGAGCAAGTCTTTTCATTAGTAAAGAAGAAGTGAAAAAATAGGATTCAAAATTGAGAAGTTATAAATCAAAGATTTATAAGAATAATCGTTAAAATCTGTGGAATTGCCCTTGTTATTGGAGTATATACCCCTACACATAACTCCCATGAAGGAAGTTATGAAGAAGGATGAATTTTTTGAAGACTTATTAGAGATGATGGATAGTGCTTCCACAATGGAAGAACATCTAATTAGATTAGATTAGATTAGATTTATTCAGTAAAAAAAAAAAAAGAAAAATAAAAACTGTATGTGACGTAGGGGGGAAAATATAATCTGTGCACGTTTTCTTGAGTTCCAGAATCCCTTCCCGTCATTTTAACTATAAATAGTTGAAAGATAAGTAAACATTTAACATAAATAAAAATAAGTTTTAAAAATCGCATATTTAGAAATACTTGAAAAATAGTCATTTTCGTTTCTGGGTTATAAAAAACTTATTTCACTTATTTCATTATGTGCAATGGTGCACGAATTGCAAGTATGATTTTTCTGCATTGCTAACAAAATAGCAACTTGCCCTTACCTCTACTCTTACCATTACAAGCAAAAGGAGAGTTCAACAAAACTTGCGCATAGTGAAGCTACATTTATGTCCAGAAGCAAAACAAGAGACCATCTCAGCATTTGCTCAATGGATCAGGCAAACTGGACAAAAACCTGACCGAGATAGGGGTCATTGACCCAGGGGAGAGAGGGGCATTTTAGAGGGTTCATTGGAAATAAAGATGGTGTAATTGACTTAATGGGAGAAATGGTAAGATAAAGGGAACGGATATTTTTAGACTAAAAATACATGAAATAAATAAATATACATATAGTTATTTTTATCAAAACATGGAGTTGTATATGGACTTAGCATGATAAAAAATGATTGTGGTAAAATAATATTTGATTGCCAATTCATAAACCTTCATCTTTAAATTCTGAAACGTAACTTCTAATTTTACACTGGCTGATTGTGCTACTTTTGGCATTTTACACTGGCTTAATAGAGAGATTATTAGAACCAACGCATACTATTATGATTGTAACTGACAATGAGGAGAATAACCCTAAATATGGAAAAATATGGAAAATAAAAGTAGCATTTTTCAACTCTACACATTGTGAAACATAAAATATTGCAAATCAGTATCGATATTAGCTTATTTAGTAAATATATATTACATAGAAATCCATTCCCTGGTAATAAACGAGAATGGGAAGCGATTAATAAAAATTTATAAGGGACATAACTGTTCCATTATGAATTCCTATTTCTGCTACAGAGATATCCATAAATTTACTTGGGAACATAGAAGGAAAAGAATAAAATTTATAATAGATGTTATTGTTAAATAAAATAGAAAAATAATAGTTCAAGACATCATTAAAGTATTTTTAGCTGTAGTAGTTATAGTTAAAGTATTTAGGGGGATGAGTGTGGGATGGATCATCGTCTCATTACTAAAATAGCATCCCAAGGGTAACATCATAAAGAAAGAGATGTCATTTGTGCAAGAAAGGGAAAAACCTGTGAACCGAGATAGATGCTTTGTCTGTTGCAAGATGAGTGTGATAGGGATCTCTATTAGAGATGCCTTGCAAATAAGTTGGATATGTAAGATGATCAGAGAGCTGAAGAACTGTTTATACAATACAATACAATACAATACAATACAATCAGCAATAACAATACTTTGAAAGAAAAATACAACAATGTGCACCTACAGTTTTATTAATTCAGAAAATGGTCAGACCTCAAGATCTTCAAGAAACATTTCTTTGCATACTAAATTGAAAGATAATGTCATTTACAAATAATTGAAAGCTGATTGTTGATTAAGTTGTAATATATTGTTAAAATATTTCATTTATAAAATGTATCATATTTCATTTATAAAATAATTGATCAAATAATTGAAAGATGGTTGTTAATTGAGTTGTTGTTTTACATTGTTTTATTTCCTTTATATAAAAGGGAAGATGTTAAGTTGGTATCGGAGTAGAGGTTTCAGACGTTGGCAGACAGAGAGGCAGGCCGGAGTGAGCGAAGTGTGTGTACAGTAACAAATAGGAGGAAATGAAGGAGATTGGACCCTTGTTGGAGGAAGAAGTGTGGAAAGCTCAAATCTTCACAAAATAGTAAAGCGGCGGGTCCAGATGAGTTTTGGAAGTATGGTGGAGAGAAGCTGATTAGAGTATTAACTAAACTGTTCAATCAGATATTATTTGCGGTTGATGTAAATATGTGAATAAAATCTATCGTTTACTATTTCGGCTATTCACAAGAACGGAAGTATGGAAGACATGAACAACTATCGGCGTATAAGTGTAATGGCATCAATTGGAAGACGTCTGAGAAAAATAGTTAAGAATAGACAAGTGTGTCCGTGAAAATTTCAGAACAAGCTGGTTTTACACAAGGAAAGTCCTGTATGAATGACATTTTTATATTAAGACAAGTGAGTCGGAAAGGAAGAGAGCTTTTATGGTTTTTATTCATCTGGAGAAAGAGTATGACTCAGTGTCTATAAATGAATTGTGGAGGGCACCACGAAATTTTAAAATTGAAGGATCTCTCCTTTAACTCATAAAAAATATCTATGAGGATACCCGAGCTGTGGTAAAAATCGGAAATAGAATGTCCGATGAATTTAAAACTACCAAAGATTTAAGACAGGAATGAAAAATGCCTCGTGTCAATGTAGGAATGTAGAGGTCCTTAATGGATGAAATACCTCGTGTCAAGGAATGATTGTTTTAGTAAAAGAACAAGCAATGCATTTGCTACTATTTGCGAATGATCAGATAATAGGGGCTCTAGATAGGGAAGATGCGGAATACAAGTATATGACCCGAAAAATAGTGCAGGTCTTTGTGCAGGGTGGATGTAAATTAAATTTGAAGAAAACAGAGTATCTGATTGTAGGAGAATGTACTAACTTGGATGTTCAAGGAGTAGGGCCGATTAAGTTAGTTGAACAGTTCAGGTACTTGGGTACAATCTAACATTAAGTCTAAAGAAATCTTAACATTAAGTCGTAAGTCTGGAAATAGTAAAAAGGATATTGATGACCGCATTAAACAGGCAAGAGGAGCCATAAGAATGTCGAATGGGAGTATTATGGAGTCGAAAAATTCACGTGAGTACAAAAAAGATTGTTGTGAGGACCAGTGCCGGAGCTAGCCAGTTTTAGGCCCGGAGCAATACTGAAACATGCTCCCCCCCAATTAAAAATGTGAAATCAATATGTTAAAATCAATAAAAATGTGTTAATAAGAAACTATAGGAGTTATTTTATTTGCTTCAACAAACGACGAAAGCTAGAAAAAAATTGGAAACACATTTTAAATAAATAAAAGTACAATCGAGCGAAAAGGTTCAGTGCGTAGCGCGCTGGATTCATAATCGGGAGGACTGGGTTCAATCCCGGGGCTGGCCATCCTGACCGGGGGTTTCGTGGTTTCCCTCGGTCACAAGGCGAATGCTGGGATAGTTCCAAAATCCCACGACCACCTCCCACTCCTCTACTTAACACCTACTCCCATCATCCTTGTCCTTTCACCCATCACTCTATAATAATAATAATAATAATAATAATAATAATAATAATAATAATAATATCCTATCCTATCCCTAATTGATATTCAAGGCAAACAACCTTGTCCAACCAATCAAGGGATGCAGTTGAACGGCTGATCCCCATAATTCCACACGTTGATTTCTCCATAATAGAATACAACTGGACCTCGAAGAGAGAAATGGGCTGCGTGAGCAGTAGTGGCCCATACAGTAGAAACTCGCAAATCCGAAAGTTCGGATAATCCGAACAAAATTCTGGATGGAGGAAAAAATAAATAAAATGCTTATTTGTAGTGCAAACAGGAGAACAGACAACTAAAGTTACTAAACACAAGTTGTGAAAATTGTGAAACACGTTTATTGCTCTGGTAACTACGGTACACCGGGCTTTGTACTTTACGGTGTATCATTTGATTTGTATTAACTTCATTTATGAATGAACTAATGGTGCTACAGAATGGCACAGACTTTCTTGTATTAGTTTTCTATTTCCTTTGGCCTCGGCTAGCTATTCTAACTTGCCACATACTCTTGCCTGCAGCCACCTATCGTCGCCCAAAATACATGTTTTTGAAATTTTCTAATTTCAGGTTTACTAATAATAGAACAGAACTATTATTTCAGGAATATTCAAAAGTAAAACCTCGCCCTAAGTGGCAATTGTTTTGAAAACTTTGGAGCCGTTTTTAAGAAAATGGCGCTTAAGCACTACAGTATATTCCACTTTTGAAGCACTTTTTTACAGAAAACTTTTGAGTTTTCGAAACACTTCATTAGAAGTGATTTGAAGCACATTAACTCACAAATACATTAGTGTTTACAAATTGCTGGAAATGTAAAATTTCCACGGTGAACTTGAAACACAGAATAAATTTGTAGTGTTTAGTTAGTATTTAATAAAATCACTTGCTGTTAAATAATGAAATAATATGGATTTCAGTACAACCTATTTTAATGTTGGCGTCAATTCTTTCATTTCATAGAGTCCTACTTTGTAAGTACTAAGTAATGACTATAATTAAGTATTTAAGGTAAAAATTTAATTAAAATGGTTATGAAATATCAGACTACTGTACTGCGACTTACAAAATTACGATAACTATTTTCTCGAGTTCTAATTTCGTTTACAATTTTTTTTTCTATTTTTTCCCCGTCGGGTCCCGAACGCTCGGTCTGCCCGTGCCTAGCGTCGGCACAGCTAAGGACTATTATTGCACGTATTCTGGATTATGGGGGAGAGAATTGGACCCTGACGTAAAGCCCGAAGTCGAAATTGTGTGCGGTAGAAATGGATGGGCTACGGAGTTGCCGAATTTATATAATGCAGAAAATTAGAAACGTAGAGATCAGGGAACGGATACAGCAAACGGAATCTTCTAATTAGAAATATATTAGAAAGTAAGGCCACCTGAGAATTAGAAATGGTATGGCCACCTGAGAATGTCAGAGTCAAGATGGACTAAGAATGAAGTCGATTGGTCTTATCCAGGAACAATGAAAAAAGAAGTCCTCGTAAAAACGAATTCAGGAATAATTGAAGCCACGCGTGACAGAAGAATGGACGACAACCTATGGGCGGATAGAGAAGGCTGGAATCGCAAAATTAGACAACCGCTGACAAGTGGAAACGCCGATAAAGGTAAAACGCTACGGCGTAGGCTCAATGGATGCGAGTTATGTGTTCAATCCCCGTTATTCGGCGATTTTAAAACTTTTATTAATATGTTCCTCAATTACCTTTCGTTCCGTCGGTACCTTTCTTTTTTTCGCGCTTGCCGGTAGGTGTCTGCCACATCCGTGGATGAGATAGGCCGAGAAACATCCCTTCATTGGCTTCGCTTCGTAACCGAGGTCATTGAACTCTCATCATGTGCTGTGTGCAAGATGCGAGGTTTCGGCCGACAGTGAGTCGTGAGTCGCTAGCTGTCGCTTCTCATTGGCGCTTCTATTTGCCCCTCCCAAAGCTTCGCCATCGCCTCCTTTTATAATATCTTTTCTTTCAGTACAAGGACTGGGAATCCCAGTGGGCACGAGCCAAACACTTAGGACCCCCGAGCGGAATGGGAGGGGGGGGGGAGGACCTCGTGACCATACTACACACGCATTCGCACTCCTGATTCAGAACGTGATTTACAAGGCGTGGGTTACCAGTACTGACTAGGACTTACGCGGCTGGTAATAGTTTTTTGATATCAGATTGTTCACGTGTATTGTGAGTTTTTGCGAAAGTGCTATTTTTTCTTGAAACTCCGTTATAGAGTATAAGATATATTTTCACGTTGAAAAATCATAGTATCGAAAATGTAGCTCGATTATTAGAATCAAACAATTTTTGTGCAAAAAGATGAGTCTTGGCGAGCACATGGTTTGTGGAAGTGGATGAGTTACATGAAGCAGGAAACGGTGAGTGAAAACTCCCAATGTCTTATGTAAGGTTTCAAAAACTCTATTTAGTTCTTGAAAGCACTCTAGAAGAAATTACATTGTTCATTTTTCAATGTACTTTTGTGAATTTTTGTTTTATTATTGTTAGAGCTAGCAATACCAAATGAGCAATTCTTAGAGATTCTCAAAGAAGGTACAGTGGATATGTTCATCGTAATAAGGAATACATAAACATAGAAGCGATGTCGATTAGATACCTTAATAGATCTACCTGGTTTAATCCGATCACATCCTTCTGCCCACTGAGCAGGAGACGCCATTGGTAAAAAGTAAAGTAAGCTTTTTAAATATTAAATTATTTTTTACTGAACCGTAATTGTATTGTTCACTTACTTCACGCTTGATGATCTCTTTTTTCGATTCGGTTCCCTCGGATCTCGTTGGAAAAGTAATTCTGGGGGTAGCAGAGGCATTTCTCCAGGAGGACCTGGCGGTCCAGGTGGACCTGGAGGGCCAACTTCTCCTTTCATTCCAGCTACACCTTGGGAACCTTTTGGACCTGGAGGGCCCTCCAAGCCAGGCAATCCTTGTGGTCCATCGCTGCCTTTTTGACCTTGTAGTCCTGTCGGGCCCTTGTGAAATAAGAGGATATTATTGAGACTCTCCATTTGATTAATTCCATTAGATTTCTAGAATAATTATTCTATTTTCTCTCGTACTTATAATTATTCCGTGAGATGACACATTTAAATTCCATTGCACACAGCTGGCAATGGCATGAGCACTTCATACTGAAGCCCTGGGGGCAACACTACAGAACATCAGGGATACTTCTAGAATATAAAGTAGTATGTTTATCAAAGAGTTTCTGAAGAAACGCGTGGAAGTCCCATATGGCATTTGAAAACCAAGGAACAAATCGTCTTTTTAGCACGTTTGTCGAAGCAAACAGTTTGTACCAAAAGAGAGAGAACATTTCCTTTTTTCAAATGCCACAACGCTCACTGCTTATATTATATTTTATTCAAATTATTTGTAAAGAGGAGAGCGTACGTGTTCCTTATAGTATCTTTAGGTGACATGGAGATTCAGATAGTAGCATTGCAGGTTGCAAAAATACTGTGTGAGGTTGGCATTGATGCATAAGTTGGGCAAACTGTGATAATGTTAACGAAGCAGTAGTAATTTCATGGCAGTAACATCGATACGTGTTGTGAATAAAGGTGTTTCATTAATATTACAAAATCTTTTGTTTTATTACATTAAGATCTCACAGTGTTCAACAGAACGAAGTAATGTTCTTTTTTTTATTTTTTGCGATCTTTCTCGTGCGTTAGTAATATGAGTGACAACGGCGCAAGTTAGTAGATCCAGCCTACACGAAGAGAGTAAGGCAGGAAGTACTTCATTATTTGAAATCACTGAAGAGCTATGATATATGAGTTAGTGGAAAAATTTGTGCTTATATCAGCTAGATCAGTGTTTGCCAATTGGAGAAAAAAATGATGTCAAAGCAACCTTCCCCTCCGTAGCCCGCGCTCGGTGATGCAGTGCGAGCAAAAGGGGAGGGAGGGGCAGACGTCGGTCGCCGGTGTCGAAAACCTTGGCAATGGGCCTTTGCTTGGGTTTGGGCAACATGCGTGGAAAACCACCTACACCCATTAATTTTCTTTCGGTTTGGGAAAACGTTTCCTTTTGTAGATACCAGATCAATGGCGAAGTGTTTAATGTGTTCGAAAGAAGTGAATCATCTTAAAAAGTTCAACCTACAGATGTATTACGTAGCTTTGCGACCCACAGATACCCGCGAGATAAAAACAAATTCTGAGAATCGACATAGCCCAATTTTGGAACCAAGGAATTTACCGATTGAAGTTTTTTGGAAAAGGTACTGAAAATCAGGAGGATTTACAACATTCTCAAACAAAACTGTACATCTAAAATAATTAAGCTTGGGGCCGAAATTCTTTCACCGTGACCCCTTCCGGATACCTATTTGTTATCTTTAATTATTGTTTCAGAACGAAATAATTCGGTGTATTACATACCATTGCATAAAATATCATTTTACTAAAATGTAAATACTGTCTTTTCCAAAAAAGTTATCTAAGATAAGGATGGAAGTGGAATTGCAGTATTGGTTATGATACAGAGTCGTATATTGCTTTGAGTTATCAAGTAATGTATGTTATATTATATAATTCTTCATTCTGTTATTGAATCATAACCATTTTAATATTAATTACGATTTATAAACGTAATTATCGATCGAACATATTCCCCCAACTTCTGTACCATCATCCCGTACCACCACACATCTGTCGGGCACTTCCTTTGCTCCGCGGCTCAGTTCGGAACAGAAGAGCAGATTTCTGTGATGTCACTGAGAATTGAGGCGGCAAACACTCTGCTAGATCAAAATATCCCTTATACAATACGAGCATTGGAATTAGGATCATTGTTGTGGTTTGGGGAACCTAAAGGAAGCAATGCAAGTGCCAGCACCTCAGAGATTTCAAGTACATCAACATTGCTTCGTCAGCACGGGCATGGTCATCATACTACAGTAAGGAAATCAAGTGTACGCTACTAGAGATGAGTTTGTGAACTGTGATGGGGATAGAGAAAAGTATGTCGTTGAAAATGATAGAAATATGAATGGTGAAGGAGGAAATTCAAGTGGATTGAGGAAC